GCCCCATCTTTCTCTCATGGAGCAGCTGGTCATTTCAAACTGCTGAGCTTGGGGTCCACAGTCCAACACATAAACACTATGCCACCAAGGCTCCAATTCATTGACAAGGAGCTTCTAAAATAGAATAACGAACATGAAAACAATTAGAGAAATTTTAGAGACAATGGGAATTATTTTTGTGCATGTAATAACACCAACCTGTTTGCATCGCATTGATGACAGCTGTTCTGATAAGTGGTTTTGTGTGTGTGTGTGTGTGTGTGTGTGTGTGTGTGTGTGTGCTGTTCTCTTAAATATTATTATTCATTCCAAATCAAAGCGCTACAATTGTATAAGCCGTCTCCACTTGAGATAGCTGAGCATAGAATGCTTTTAAGTATGGCAAAAGTCTTATAAACACACAAGATTACTTCCATTTTATACTATGTTGTTTGCTGAAATATTTTCTTTGGATTCAATTTTTTTTTAACTTGAGAAAAAAGTTGTGAATTAAGAAGTTATATTTCTAGGTACTTAAAGGTCAAGGGCAATGGATTTTCATATTTGTGAATGAAATAGTTGGAAAACCTGAGCTTGAAGCTACATAAGGTTTTAGAATGAGCTACTTGATAGTGATTCTAGAATTCCTAAAATCCCCAAAGTTTTTTGTAAATTGCACTGTTAACTGCATTAAATTATTTGTATGTGATTGATCTATAGTAAGCAAAAGGAAGATAAACTGTCTATTTGATTACTTTGTTAAGAGATGAAGATCACTATTGGTCACATAAATGGTAAAGCAGTTCTGGTGGCCCTGAAGATTAGGTGTTAGCCTGCTAACTACAAGGTCTGTGGTTCAAACCTAACAGCCATTCCACAGAGAAAGATGAGGTTATCTGCCCTTGTAGAGATTTGCAGTCTTGGAAACCCTCTGTAGGGTTGCTATGAGTCAGAAGACTTGATGACAGTCAGAGTGGGTAAGTGATAAGAAGGGACGTGCAGAGGCTGGAGAAAGAAAGATGATAAATCTACTAGTTTATTAATAGCGAGTAAATGAGGGAAGCTGATTTAATTTAGAAATTTAGATTATTGGATAAAGATTAAGACCTCAGACTTCAGATATATTCACCAGAAATAACACATTTTGGGGATATTGAAAAAATCTCAGTTCCAGATCTTGAGTCTGCTAGCTGAAAGTTCATACATTCCAAACGCATGGGCTCTTGTACAAGAATCTCATTTCTTTTGTCTTTTTCTTCTATGGCTCCAAAATATAGAAATAGGAAAATTTTAAGTTATTGTACTAATATTTCGATGTTACAGTAATGTTTTTTTATTTTTCTTCTTTCTTCTATCTCTCTATCTTACCATCTTTTATGTTCCAAACTAGTATAAAGTTGATTTGCTCTGAACTGCTTTGTTAGATAAGAGTTACAGTTCATCCCACCTAACCTACCACCCCTCACACTAAGAAAATTGTTTAATCAATAGGAAAGTTTTCAATGAAAAGATTCAGCGAGCTTGTCCTAACTTTTGATAATTTTTTCTCAGTAACCTTAGTATCATGTTGTTTCATTAGTAGGAAATAGATATTTATCTAAATAAACACTTTAAAGTTGGCTCTTTTTAATTTAGATTCTCACTGAACAAGAGATCAGGAAGAAAATAAAACTTTGGAATTGAACATTACTTTTTTTGAAGTCTGATAACTTGACCTCAATATATTCCACTATTAATATGTGTGCCAAGCAAAATATTACATTAAAATATAGGTGAAGAACCCTAAAATGATAGCCTTCTCATTAGATTTTTAAACATTGATTTATACTGCTTTTCTTTCAATTAATGCAATTAGTGTTGTTTATTTACTCATTGTAGAAATGAACTAGAGGATCAAAATTACATGCTGTTTCAGTATGTTTAATCTTTGCAGTCTTTCAGATTTTGTTTGTAACTTATTTAAAACACTTTATTTTTAACAAGAAATGGAAAGACTTTTTTAATATGATGGCTAAATGTCATATACATCATTACCAACAACCATATGTTGTCATTTTACAATGCAAAAGTTATTATTGCTCCATAAAATTTAGAAACCGTATCAACCACTTTTTGTATTCTTTCGATGGCAGCTTGCAAACCTAAAAAGAAATAAATTCACAGTGATATGTTATACAAAATGTAGAAAAAAAGAAAGCTGGGTAAAACCCTTGCCTTACTCAAGAAAAGTATGGGGTTTTTCCAAACCATTTTATTAGGCACTAAGCCAGACATCATATCATTCCATAGTTCAATCATGCCAAGCAGGCTGTACAATAGCTACCAAAATCAGTTTGAAAATATTTTCTTCTTCTTGGACTTCTTGATATCAGCTCCCTCTAACAGACCCCTGCTTCCCTCTCCCCACCCCTACCCCCTCCCCCGTACTCCCCTGGAACCCTCATTCCAATTGTCGTCTCTATAGATTCGCCTATGCTGTGTTTCAAACAGAAAACATACCAAACCCATAACAAAGTGTCAAGAAAGCTACCAATAATGACAAAATACAACAGAAATAAACCCCATTAATAATAATAATAATAACATATTAAAAATCAGATCAAGCCCAAAGTGTTTCAGAAGGGAGATCGTGACACGATTTTAACCATTCAAGTCAAATTTATCTTCTAAATGTATGATATTTGTCTCTCCAATGCTCTCTGTCTCTCTCTATAACTAGGTTGCTCCCATCCCTCAATGATGGTTAGAAGGAAATCACCAGAAGCTTATTTCCTGTGTTGATCTCACACCTGTATCTTGGGCGCCCACTGTCATCCATAACTATCCGCAACCTGAATCCCACAATTTAAGCCCTCTTACTATTCTCTTCTTTGAATTTGGATTATATAATTTACAATCTTTGAATCATGGATGTTGGTGTGTTTATTCCATGTGGGTTTAGTTGACGTCTCACTTAGATGACTGCTTTTTTTGGAAACAAGCCTTTTAAACACCAGACACTATTCTATCAGATTTCTTCACTATCCAATTTCTTCACCACACTTTGCTATAGTACCTATTTCTTCTGTATTTCCTTCCGGAGGTCGAGGATTGGGCCAGTCCATGTCATCAGAACTACGTGTTCTCAGAGTGGAGCTAGGATTAAGTGTAAACCCTAAATCCGTTCCTGAATGTATGTTTTTTATCCATCTCTGGTTCACCTTAGATACATCCCTATATATAGTAGAGAATCTTATCAATCACCTCCCTGGAACTCAAGGACCTTCTGTTTATAGTGTCACTGATTGGCTAAAGGTCCTAATTTTAAATTACTATTGAGAGCGGGAGATTGTACAAATGTAGACTAATTATATATTTCAATACCTGGATTATTCTCTTTTATGCAATAAATCATTATATAAAACACATTTTCTTGATCTATTTGATTGTTCAGTTAATGATCTATTAAAAAGAAAACATAGTGATTGATTTGTATTCATTTAGGGACTAAGGCTTATTTAACATTTAAAATTTAATTAATATAACTAAACACATAATTTTAAAAAAGATAATCATATCTCACATCTCAATCCCTACAGAATAAGGGTTTTTATATAATTCAACAAGAAAAAAAAACCCTTGCAAACTTGGAATTGATGAGAAATTCACATGAAATTTTGTGTCAATACCTTTGTATAGACTACATAGCTTAACAAACTTAAAACAACAACAAAAACAACTAACTAAGCTTATTATTCTGTGTATATGAAAGAGTAAAAAACAAGAAATAACCAGTTCTTAAAGTAGAACAAATTGGAGGTACTTAACTGGTCAAATATCCATAATGAGCAAATATAAGACCATCAGAATTACGACAATTTGGTACTGTGCAGAGATAGACACATTTACAAGTTGAAGATCATAGAACATACAAAAACAGGCTCACACTTATATGAAACTGTCATATTGTACAGACTGACAGTGACAGATTAGTGATGAATATTGTCAGGACAATTATTTATCAATGTAGGAAAACAAATAAATAGGCACCATGCCTAACACCATGATCTCTGATGGCCCCTTTCACCATTTGCTTTTCTTCTGCAAGTGCCTCTTTGTGTTGGCATATCACCTACCTTGTTGCCCAGACTACAGATCTGGGATCCATATTTGCTCCTTCCTCCATGCATCATGGCCTATTAATCTTCAACTCTTAGACTTATTGTGTAGCCATTCCTTGACTCCCCTATTGCTGTGCAAGCTCCAGGTCTCTGTTAGGTAGCATGGCCGAGTTAGGTTCTCTTTCTGTGTGACCCGATCACTCTCTGCAGGTAATTCTGCTATGATTACCTTCAGATTGTTGTAAATACCAACTAACTAACTTTGAGGTAGATTTGTGAAGACCTCTTATAAATCCCTCAAGGAATAACATTCCAATTTCCAGTTCCTAGCAGTGTGCTTGGTATATAGTAAATTCTATTCATCTGTGAGCTCTACAACTAAAACATCTAAAATATGTTTGAGCCTTTTTATTATCTCACTCTGGTGTCCGGTATGTTCCCCACATGTATTCTTTTCCCAAAAGTTCTAGTTTAAGTTAACATTACTTGAAGTTATTGTGAAACCACTTTCATACATTCTTCTTCCCTTCACGTTGAGCAAAGATATTTCACACGTGAGCAAAAATCATTCTAAGTTAATTCAATTTTTCTAAAATGATGCTTCTCTGGAAGAGAATTAATCAGTCATGTGTAACACAAAACAGATTGTTACATGCGTTATTTTAAATTATTTATTTAAATAAAACATTAGTTTTATTCAAAGTAAACATTATTTGAATGTTCTTTATTCAAATAAAACATTAGTTACAAATGTCTGGAACATCTTAGGTGCCCGATATACTTTTGTTGAACAATTCTATAATTTAAAGATATAAGAAATGTGTTCAATATTTAATTTAAAGCAAGAAATGAATTGTTTTTTAGGTGGTTTTTTTTTCTGTTATTCTTATTGCTCTCTTTTTCCCTCATTTATTTCTGAAGAATTTTGACTGGCCCATAGAAGGACTGCTTGTTCCAAATAGCCCTCCCATGAAGAAGCCCTCCTATAAAACACCAAAGCAGTGTGTTCCTGTGAGACTCAGAGTTTTGCGAAATGGAGACAAGAATAAAAAGACAGCTCTTATTTTAATTGGGACAGACAGCTCACCAAGATGGAAAGTACAGTAAGAATTACTCATTCCTACTTTACAATCAGTACAAGGGGTACCCAAACAAGGGTAAAAGTTTTTTTTCAAAGCTATGTTCTTAATTTCTTCTTTCAAAACAACGTTATCACCTTCAAAGTACTTTCCATTACACTTAATACATTTGTCAAATCTGCGTTCCATTCTTGGAAACATTTTTTTCAAAATCATCTATTTCAATGGCTGACAGCACCTTCCACACTTTTTTTCTTCACCTCTTCTATATCGTCAAATTACTGTCCTTTCATGGTCCTCTTTATTCTCGGAAACAAAAAGAAGTCACATGGAGTGAGGTCAGGTGAGTAAAGTGCACGGGGCATGAGAGGCATGCTGTTTTATTGCCAAAAGCTGGAACATTGAGATGGCTGTGTGAGCAGGTGCATTGTCGTAGTGGCAAAACCGGTCCCCCATCTGCCACAAATCAGGCCTTTTTTTGTTGCACACTTACTCAATTTTTTCAGAACCTCTAAATAGAAAGCTTAATTAACAGTCTGACCTAGTGAAGTGAACTCCAAATGCACTTTTAAGTTGACATCTTTGTCCCTTTGGGAAATTGGCAGATGTCCAGAACAAGGTTTATTGTCAATCGACATTTCACCTTTTTGAAACGAGAAAACCACTCATACACATAGTGCTGTCCTTATAAGCTGTGTTTAACATCACAACAGTTTCAGCAGCCTCTTTCCCAAGCAGGAAACCAAATTTCACAGCCACACACGGTTCTCATAAATTGGCCATAACGAAAAATGAGGTTTAAGTGAAACTGCTTTTGTGAAAAAATTCACTGTGACCAGAGAGAACCTTCCCAGGAGATCCCACTTGGTGCACTAACTCAGAGCGAGTTGCTCTATGTTCGCATAGTGGGAAAAATGCATACTATGAGAGCTCTGCTCTTTCCAGAGCAATTTTGGTTTTGTTTTGTTTTTTGGTACCCCCTCATATACATTCTAGTTTCTCCAGATGTTTGTCTTCTGCCTTAAAGATGATTTCTAGTAGACTGCGCACTTATTTTTTTAACTTCCACATTGATACTTGAAGATTAGGTTAAATAGTAAGATGGTTTCACTTTCAGGAAATTCATTTGAACATTGCTCATTTAGGGTGAGCACAGGAGAAGACAATAAGGTGAAACTGAGTCATTCTGATAAAAAGTTCTGTGATTACTACATCTGTTTTGAGTTAACATTTCTTTTGGGGGGGCTTTATTACTGTCTTGACATAACTGAACTTACACAAATTGATTCTTATATATAACTTGGAAAATATTTAGATTTTTATACACAATTATTTGGTTATGTTTAGACCTTTGGAATACTTGATGAACAAATGCAGTTCTCAAAAACATAACTTCATTCACTTGTGTTCTGGACTTGGAATTACACTAGAAAATGTTATCATCCTAGAATAACAATGAATTGCACTTTAGCTTATTTTATAAGATGAAGATTAAAGTCTTCCCAAACAGCCAACATTTTCTCAGCATAGGAGAAAAATCACCTGCTATATTGTCATTATATTTTATGACAAAAGGAATAATAGATCATTGAAAAATTTTGATGCAGAGAATGAGTTAAACACATTGTTTCTCATATTATTAGCTGTAATATTACCTCTTGACCTTTCTTTTGGAATGGTTAGAATATTTGAGGCTGTGATAATAGTTTAATATTACTTTCTTCACATTGATTAAATATACTTCATACATCGCTGAACAATGAGTAACATTCAGATCGGCTGTCCACTGAACTGCCTGTAAAGATGATAAAGTAAAAAATTAATCTTCAAAGTAAAGTCAAGCCTGAAATTGAAATCTTTGACGCATACATTTCATAATTAGCTCATTCTGCTAGATGTAATGTGTGAGGGTAATGCCCTTAAAGTAGTACATGTTTTTTTTCTAACATCCAAAGTTAGCATGTAATGTCTATTATCTCCTAAATTTATTTTTCTATATATTTAAATGTGGATCAAAATTATTTACAGAGTTCCTTTATTCATATTAATATTTTAAATGCACAGTTTAAGCAGATAATCCAAATATCATATGAGAGATTTGTTCATTTGAACAACTATTCTAATAGAGAGTGTGCGATTCTCACCACTGTTTGCCATGATATGGTCATGGGGCAGAATGTCCTGGTTAATCAAATATTCAAGTATTAGAAAGTCAGTCTGTTCATGACATGTGTTAATTATTCTCAAATTATTAAAGCATACTGGCATACACTTAATAAAACTCTACTAAAATTAAACTATCATTTGGTGATTCAGAAAATTGTTCTGTAGGATCATCAGTAGGAATTTTCCCCTTCAGCACCGTGTTTAAGTTCAGATTAATAGACGACTTATACGGAACCAGTTTTCACCAGCATCACAGGGTCAGAGGGCTGCAAATCTCAGAGGGCACCCCGCTCACATTCATACTTTATCCTGTAGGAGTGGCCTCCCAGAGTTGTGCCAGGTGGAGGCCCTGCTGTGTTACTGTGAATGTATCCCGACCAAATGCCTTCCCTGCCAGAATAAAGACATTCTAATGGCAGATGGGGATACATCACTTGCTGGAACTTAAAAAAAAGAAAGAGAATTGGCTTGTTTGGTGACTTTACAAGCAAAATCAGGCCAGAGTGATGAAATATAGATCAATTTCAACCAATCCTGATCTTGTAACACCCTTCAATCATTTAATAATTCACTCCAGTTTGGGTTTTGGTTGTTGGTGGGGATTCATCCCCCTACAAAGTCAAAGGACGGTCAACTAGTATTTGTTCCCCATAGTGAGTAGTGAGGAACCCCTCTTGCCAGTGCGGCTGTTCTGTTTCTCACAGGGGTCTCGATGAACTGGGCACAACTGGATGTGCCTATCAACAACAGGGAGTTTTGACAATGATGGGATATTTTGAATAAATGAAGACCAGCATAATTTTCCTTTTGTCACAGGTGAAATTTATCTCTCAGACCCTAAATTAATAGGGAGGAAATTTTATAAGTGATACTGTAAGGAACTGTAAAAGGAAAGTTCCATATGAAGCTATTAAAAAACCCTTATTAGTATAGATAATTTGAATGTGTGTATGCGAGGTGTCTTCTGTATATGTAAGTTACAATCCATGGATTGCTCCTGCTCCTTAGTAGAAACTTAAAGACCATGTTTCTCCCTGCAGACTTCTTAGCTTTAACTCTTCCCATTTCCCTCTCTGAAACTCCCTTCCTCATCCCCAGTGCTTCCCAAGCCACCTTCATCTGAGAGATCTTTTGCAAATAAGTTTGGACTTCATTTCTAGAGGTTGGTTCTGAACATTGCTCCTATTGCTATGGGCTTCTCACCAGCACAGCATGTCCCGCTCTGTCTGTACTTACTGCTTATGTCTCCATTCATGAGATAACGAACAGCCATGGTGCATTTGCTCATTTGTACGTATACCACTGTGCTCTGTGTTGTGGAGCAGTATATCCTGGTCAGTCCAATATTAAAGTATTACAGAATCACTTTACTTACCACATGATTCAAGGCCACACATTGTTTAAATCAGTTTTACTAAATTAATGAATTAATTAATACATGAATTGGTACATAAACTTGATCATCATTTCTAGTAAAATAATCAGTAATTATAGTTAGTTACAATGGCTTCCACAGTATAATGTGAAGATTCTAAAAGTGCAAAGAATAGCTTTTTAACTTGAAAATCTGAGATGTGTCTTCAAGAGAAGCATTCTTTTTTTTTCTAACCATCATTATTTGTTTCTCAAATGAGAAATGTTTAGGTATGGATTGATTTTAGAGACGCATATTAATAAAACATCATAGGCAAAACAAATATAATCTCTGCCTTACCTTCATAGCTGATGAATTCACATCTCAGAGTGTTTGGCATTATTACAAGAGTATTAAAATACTGGGAATTAATTTTGGGGGTAAAATTCATTTATAGTACCAAGGTTTGTGAAGTTTAATATTTAATTATGATGGTTTTTGAAAGTAAGGCAGTAAGGTTTTTGTAGTAAGGCAGATTATTGTAGGGAAAACTCATGATAAAATAGGACCTTATGATTTTTCACACATTTAAACAAGTTGAAAAGATAATTGACAGTGTATACTGACATATCAATCAAATCTTGGACCATTTGTTTCAGAAATGTTGACACGGAAAGGAAAAAGAATGTGAAAATCCACGTCACCGAGGACTCTGAGACAGAAGTCAACCACACTGAGTTTCATCAATTTTTGGAGAGGTAAATATTGATTTTCCTAAATGTGAAGATATTTTCTATTTATATGCTTGAATGACTACATATCAAGTAGAACATAAAATACACATGTCTCTACATAAGAAAACAGTTGTTAACATAATGATTCTGCAGTTTTTAATCTGAATTATGTTGACGATATGACAGTTCATGAGACGGATGAGTACTTCAAAAATAATTTTTCAAATTTCAAGGTCTGGTAGGTTCCCCTAGCTTTCTGAACTACCAACTCTGTAAATACAGATTACTTGCATTTTTTATTCATTGCACAATTTTACAACCACATTTTCCTTTTGATTATATTTATCTAAATCAAGGGAAGGGTCGTTGCATGTTTAAGTTCTCTGCATATTTTATGTATTCTAACCCAAATTTTAAAGTATCATGAAATAAATCCAGCTCATACCCATTATCATGTTTCTTTGATCAGTACTTGTTCACCCAACCAGAACTTTTCCATAGAGTTCTTTAAAGAATAAATCAAAGATCACGGGTGGACACTTGATATGACTTTTACTTGTCAACATTGACAAAGTTAATTTCATAGGGTTTAAGAAAAACTCTATGTAAAAACTAATTTTAAAATAATATAGTGGAACTTTTTGGTGGTGGTCGCAGTCACAGAATCACCCTCACCGACCAGCTCCTGTCCGTGAGAAACTAGCCCGTCCCTCATGTGCCGTCCGTCAGCCTCAGAGCTGCTAACATGAGGAGCAAGGAATGGGTTCCCACTGGCTCATTTCCTTCTAAGACCCTCTCAGAGAAATGGAAGGCCTAATTATTTGCTTAATTGCCTTATCCCATTAAGGGAATAAAATCTTCATACAACAAAATCTTGCTGATAAATATAAAGTTGCTTCTTGCAGCTCTTTCCTCAACAGTTAAGCTAAAGGGTTGGAAGAGGAGCTAAGAAGATAGCCAAAAAGAATTTGATTATTTTCAACAGGCTTCTGTTACGTTTACACGATGCACATAGATGGATGCTGGGTGGTGGAAATATAAACAGAAAACAAAATAAAAGCAAAGCATTCTTGCTCTTAAGGAACTTTCCATTTTTTGTGTAAGGGAATTTGCTTAGTGAAATAATCCGAAAGCCAGACATGGCTTTTAACTGCACGGAAGTAAAAGTGGTCAAGTGACAAAAGTATGTAACAGGTGTGGTCAACCAGGAAGGGGAGCCTGGTGAGGGGCCGCCCCATGAGGACCTGGGGTGTGTGTTAATTGGGTCTTGATGAAGAACAGTGAACACGAGACAGAGGTCAAGGGGAAAATGCACCCATTCGTAGCTCCAGTGGACTTGACGACTCTTTGGAAGTAACCAGGACTCCTTTTGGTGACCTAGGAGCTGGGACTGAAGTCCAAGTGGGTCTAGCCCTGAGGAAGGCAGCCTGGTGATGGTTGGAAGAAGGGAGTCTCCATTATTGCAGAGCGGTAGCTGCTGGAGGAGCCCTGGTGGTAGAGTGCTTAGGAATTGGCTGTGATCTGACAGGTCATCAGTTCAAAATCGCCAGCCTCTCTAAGGGGCCTTTCTACTCCCATAAAGAATTCCAGTCTGGAAAAATCACAAGGGCAGCACTACCCTGTCCTGTAGTGTCACTCTGAGTCGGCATGGACGCGATGGCAGTGACTTTCATTTTTGGTTTTGGTAGTTGTCTGTGGGCCTGGGAGACACAGCATCTCTTGTATCCCTTTTCTCTCAGGGGCCACATGGTACTATTTATAATACAGTCTTCAGGGCAAAAGCTCCATTTGGATGCTTCTCTACTCTGTCCCTGAGAAAGCAACGTCAGAGATAAGACTTTTCTGCTTTTCTTGAACCCTCCAAGCCAGCGGTTCTCAACCTGTGGGTTGCGACCTCTTTCACAGGAGTTGCTGTGAATCAGAACTCAGAAAGAGTTACTGATTCATAACAGTAGCAAAATGATGGTTATGAAGCAGTGACGAAAATAATTTTATGGTTGGGGGTCACCACAACATGAGGAGCTGTATGAAAGGGTCACAGCATTAGGAAAGTTGAGAACCACTGCTCTAAACCCATGTGAGCCAAATAATCCATGTTGATTTCTTTTTTTTTTTTTTAAACATTTTATTAGGGGCTCATACACCTGTTATCGCAATCCATACACACATCAATTGTGTAAAGTGCATTTGTACATCATTCTCAAAACATTTTCTCTCTACTTAAACCCCCGACAATAGGTCCTCATTTTTCCCCTCCCTCCCCGCTTCCCCCTCCCTCCATGTTGATTTCTGGGTGAGAGTCAAGGAACCTTATTTATAGAACTTTCATGTGTCAGGGAAATTCAGGGTAGTTCAAGTAGCACCTCATGCCTCGGTTTCCTCACTTTCAAAGATCAAAACTCTTCTCATTGTTTAATTATGTCTTATGAAAAGGTCCTATTACATAGTAGTAAAAAGCCAAGAGATTGAAGCTTTAATTTCATCTCTCTTAGCTTACTATATATACAAACTTAGACAAGAAAATTAATATCCAGGCCCAGCTTCTTCATCAATAAAATGGGCTTCTCCAAGGTGGTGTGAGAATTATATGAGAAAGTAGAAATAAATTGCTTATAGCCCTCATGCATTGCTCATATATATGTGCTAGGCACTTATAGGTCTTCACATACCATATGTACTCGTATATAAGCCAAGTTTATCAGCACATTGTTAATGCAGTTTTTATGGTAAAATTTGGTGCCTTGGCTGATATTCAGGTTGACTTATACTCGAATATATATGGTACTAATATTCCTATGGGGTAAGTACTGTATATCTGCCTTTTACTCGTGGAGCAGATATAAAAGTTCAGAGAAGTTAATTAACTTTTCCAAGGGGAGCCAATATGTGAAAGGGCTGGAATTTGAGCCATGGCAGTCTAACTTTGGATCAAACATACAATATTAGATGGTTCGGAGATCATCGGGGGGAAGTAGAAGAAACTGGTCCTCAAGAAGCATCCAAACAGCAAAAGGTGCATCTTCTGACTGGAGTCAGTCTTCCCACAGTTCTATTTCACCTCACCCCACCCGCTCCCATCAGTGAGAGACATAGCCTAGCCCTCATTTGTTGTCCACCAGCCTGTGGGCAGTTACCACAAGAACCAGAGCCTGAGTTCCTACTGACTGATTTCCTTCTAAGGTCATCTCAGAGATGTGGAGGCCTAATTATTTACATATAGAAGGATTTATAAAGAAAACCCCAAATCTCACAACTAGACCAATGGGTAACATCATGATAAACAGAGATAAAAGACTGAAGCTATCAAGGATTTTATCTTGCTTGGTCCACCATCAATGATCATGGAAGCAGCCGTCCTGAGACCACATAACACATTGCATTAGTAAACCTTCTGCATAAGACCTCTGTAAAGTGTTGAAAATTAAGAATGTTACTTTGGAGACTAAGTTGGGCCTATCCCAAGCCATGGTGTTTCACTCACCTCCTATGCATATGAGAGCTAGACTTTGAATAAGGAAGACTGAAGGAGAGTAGATGCATTTGCATTAGAGTGCTGGTGACGGATATTGAAAGTACCAGGGACAAAGAAACAAATCTGTCTGGAAGAAGTACAGCCAGAATGTTCCTTAGAAGCAAGAATAGCGAGACTTTGTCTCATGTGCTTTAGACGTGTGATCAGGAGAGACCAGTCCCTGGTAAAGGACATCATGCTTGGTGGAGAGGCAGTGAAAAAGAGGAAGACCGTCGATTAATAGATAGAAGCAGTGGCTGCAACAACGGGTTCAAGCATAATTGTGAGGCTGGCTCAGGACTGGGCAGTGTTTCCCCCTTTGGTACTCAGAGGCACCTGAACACAACAACAGTTATTTGCTTGATTGCTTTAGCTCGTTAAGGATTTAAATTTAGAAACATTCTTCAGACAACAGAGTCTTGCTGATCAGTGTAGAAACACATCTAATTTGATTACCATAACCAGTACATACTAGCATAAAATACATTCAGTAAGAACCGTTTACTTTCCTCATCAGAAAGCCAGAATGGTCACCACGATGTTCTTTAGGAAATGTTCATCACCCACTTCAGCTCTGCTCCCCTACCTCGCAATGTTACCTCTTTACCTCTATCCTACACTGGCTCTCAGCGCTTAACCCTTCGACAGAATTAATTTAAAACAACAAAACAGATCGGATAACACAGCATCTCTGCTCTCATGGCTACCATGGCTTCCTGATGTTTATGGATTAGAGGTCAAATTCATCAGCCTGGCATCTCAAATGCTTTCAAACCAGAGCCTATATTCTTTTTGAGTGTCATCTCTCCTCTCCTCTTCATCTACTCCACTCCAGCCAGTTGCTTGATGGACTCCCAACCATCTTTAGCATTCAAAGCCAAAGGCTTCCTTCTCTGATTAGTCTCCCATGAAGCGACTTCTGTCTTCTTCCTTTACATTCTCATAGAACACTGGCCAGTGCGTCTGCCTCTGACAACACACCCAGTCATTTATCTTAGTGTATCACAACGCGGACTCAGTGCTTGCGGCTGGGGGTGGGGTGTTGAAGGGTGGGAGGGGGTGCAGGGAGATCACTTTAATCTTTAACCATGTTAAAAATACTTTTTATTCTTTAAAAAAAACCCTCTGCTACTTTTTCATGTTGTATGTTGTCAGGTGCCCTAGAGTAGGTTCTGGATCATGGCGACCCTCCATTCATAGGTATTCACCTGAAGGGAACACTGCTCCGTCCTGAGCCACCCTCGTGACTTTTGTCATGTTCGAAGCCAATCGTTGCAGCCACTGTGTCAATCCATTTTGTCAAGGGGCTCCCCCTTTTTCATCGCCCCTCTACTTTGTCGAGCAGGATGTCCTTTTCCAGGATCTGGTCTCTCTTTGATAACATATCCAAAATAGGTCAGACAAAGTCTCCTCATCCTTAATTCTAAGAACCACATTTTCATAGGAAGCTAAAAGTCCTCAGAAGTCACTCTTGGTGGAGAGGAATGAGGAAACACTTGGTGAAGCACTTGGAATGCCTAGATGGGGGCCCTGGTGGCCTAATGATTACCCACTGGGCTTCAAACGGCAAGATCAGCAGTTCAAAACTACCAACTGTACCAAGGGAGAAAGACAAGGCTTTCTACTCCTGGAAATAGTTAGAGTCTCAGAAATCCACAGGGGCAGCTGTACCAGGTCCTATGAAGTCACTCTGCGTCGGAATTGACTTGATGGCACAGTTTTGAGTGAGAAAGGGGGCAGAAACTCAACGGGGAAAGGCTAGGAAAGGTCTTTTGGGAAGAAGGACGAGTGTGAGCAAAAGCAAATAAATCGAGGAGGATGGCAGAGGGGCAGGGGATATAAAGAAATGAAAAGGCAATTATGTTATATCTACTCCGGTATCGATCTCATCCAGCACTGGCTAAGGCACTCTTCAGTGTCTACCCTAATCCTCCCAACAATCCTAGAAAGTAGGACATCTGGACTCTGAAAGGTTAAATCATTTGCTCATGTTTCACAGTTTGAATGTGGGGAAGAGACTTGAAGAACTCTCATGGATTCCAGAGCCCTGTTCTCTACTCTCCCCAGTCCTGTCAAGGGAGTTGCCATTAGGAACTCAGGTTCTTGTTAACTTTGTTATCATGTTATCTTGTATTTTCTTCCTTCTGTACATGAAGCTTGTCCATGCAAGGCCAATCTGTGAGTGTGTGTGTGTCTATTTATTACAGGTGCACTGAAAATCTAAAGTTGCCTTCTGCAGCTCGGAGATTGTTCCGTGAAAAGGGGGAGGAAATCTTTACCCTGAAAGACCTGCAAAGAGATGAACTGGTAAAGACTTGCATCTTGGACGTATATTCTTTGCCCTTTGGAAAACTCTCTGGCCGTCATATCTTTGAAAACGTTTTCAGCCAGCCTGCTTTCTTTCTCTTTACTTCCAGGAACTCACGTGGCGTGAGTCCTACTGTGAGGTGTTTGGTTTTTGGAGGACTATTTCCTCTGTTTTTCACATCAATCGTTTCTGTTATTCAGTCTTTCAAATGACTCACTCTTTCCTCAGCCTTTTCCAGCCCACTTTTCATTTCATGCAGTGAGCTCATTGATTTTATTTTAATCTCAGTTATTGAATTGTTCAGTTCTGAAATCTCCACCTGCTTCTTCTTCGGGTCTCTGTCTCCTTGCTGAGATTTTCTAATTTGTCATGAGCTGAAGCATGGTGGTACCGTATATACTCGTGGATAAGCCGAGTTGGTCAGCACATTTTTAAAAAATCATTCTATTGGGGGCTCATACAACTCTTATCACAATCCAATCCATTCATTGTGTCAAGCACATGTGTACATTTGTTGCCATCATCATTCTCAAAGCATTTGCTTTCTACTTGAGCCCTTGATATCAGCTTATTTTCCCCCCTCCCTCCCCATTCACGCCTCCCTCATGAACCCTTGATAATAAATTATTATTTTGTCATATCTTACACTGTCCAATGTCTCCCTTCACCCACTTTTCTGTTGTCCATCCCCTAGGGAGGAGGTTATAGGTAGATCCCTGTAATCTGTTCCCTCTTTCTACCCCACTTTCCCTCCACCCTCCCAGTATCACCACTCTCACCACTGGCCCTGAAGGGATCATTTGTCCTGGATTCCCTGTGTTTCCAGTTCTTACCTGTACCAGTGTACATCCTCTGGTCTAGCCAGATTTGTAAGGTAGAATTGGAATCATGATAGAGGGGAGAGGAAGCATTTAGGAACTAGAGGAAAGTTGTATGTTTCATTGTTGCTACCCTGCACCCTGACTGGCTCCTCTCCTCCCTGCCACCCTTCTGTAAGGGGGTGTCCAGTTGCCTACAGATGGGCTTTGGGTCTCCACTCCACACTCATTCACAATGATATGATTTCTTGTTCTTTGATGCCTGATCCCTCATCCCTTCGACACCTAGTGATCATACAGGCTGGTGTGCTTCTTCCATGTGGGCTTTGTTGCTTCTGAGCTAGATGGCTGCTTGTTTACCTGAAAGCCTTTAAAACCCCAGATGCTATATCTTTTGATAGCCAGGCACCATCAGCTTTCTTCACCACATTTGCTGATGCACACATTTGTCTTCAGCGATCGTGTTGGGAAGGTGTGCATCATGGAATGCCAGTTTAATACAACAAAGTGTTCTTGCATTGAGTAAGTACTTGAGTGGAGGTCCAATGTCCATCTGCTGCCTTAATACTAAACCTATAAATTATGCACTATTTCCCCACCATCCTATATAAATATATTTACATATGTACATGCCTCTATTTAGACCTCTATAAATGCCCTTGGCTTCCTAGTTCTGTCCTCTATTTCCTTTTTACTTTCCTCTTGTCCCACTATCATGCTCAGCCTTCATTTGGGTTTCAGTAATTTCTCTTGGTTACATTGCCCTTGCTGAATCCCTATTAGGTCTCTCACATCCACCTTGCCACTAATTGTGGATCACTTGTTGCTCCCTTATCCCTTGGTTGGTCAACATCACCTCCTTTCCCCCACCTCCCTCTCTCTGATATCCCCCAGAACCATCAGTCCTGTTGTTTTCTCCTCCAGATTATTCATCCAGCCTATTTTATCTAGATAGATCTGCGGAGATAATAATATGCACCAAAAACCAAGGCATAGCTACACAAAGTGACCAAAGAGAACACAACGATGACAACAAAAAAGAAAACTAATGACCCAGAGAAGAATAATTTTTTTTTTAATTTAAAAGAAATAAACACCTGTAAATAGATCAAGGTCTGAATTTTGACCTCTAGGTATGTCCTCCAGTCAAGTCAGATGGGATGCCACACTCTGGCCCCAGAGTCTATCCTTGGTACTCCCTCGGGAGCTCCCTGCTCTGCTCCTGCCATTGCTCTGTCGCATGCCTTTAGTGTTTTGCCTCAGTGTCACAGTGTCAGTCTGGGCCACTCCCGACACCAAGTCTTCAGTGTTGTTCCCCGTAGGGACATGGGTCAGTGAGGGACGTCATGCCTCATAGTGTGATCAGCCATATGGTCCACTCAGTGTATTGGCTGTTTGGAGCGGGGATATCATCCTCCAGGACTGGTGGGCCAGGATGTGCTTCACTCTCTCTTCCTCCCCCTTCATTTGCTCCCATGTTCAGCACATGTTTTCATGCAGTTTTTGTGGTAAAATTAGGTGCCTTGGCTGATATTCAGGTTGGCTTATACTCAAGTATATATGGTAATTGCCGTTGAAGTGTGTTTATTAAGGCTACTTCAAAATCCTTCTCGGGTAGTCGTAACACTTCTGTCATCTCAGTTCTGGCATTGGCTGGTTATCCTATCTTATTCAAGATGGATTTTCCTGGTTGGTGGGATAATGAGTAATTTTAAAAATAGAAACCTGGGTGTCTGGAGTATTACCTTATAAAACTCTGATGTTATTAAACTTTTGTCTTGGCTGGCCTCCTATGACACTGCTCTGACAAATGAAGAGGTGGCTTGGCTATACCCCTGCCTGGTTGAGGTGGACGTTCAGGCTTCCCACTCAGTCTCTATGGACATCTGAGGAGCCTAGGAGGGTAGAGGAGCCCCACGTTATGTTGGGCATGGATGGGATGGGTGTGCTGGATGGGTACACACTAGGCCTCTGCTCACTGAGAGGGACCGCAGTGTCTCATTACTCTTCCTCATGGCATTCACTGGCACCATGAGGCAGGGTGACCTCATTACTTTTGGGTGATGGTGAAAGTCCTGAATCTCCATGAAGATTCTCTGATGCCACCCTGGCTAGAAGCAGAAGGGGTGCTTTGTGACTACTGCATAAAGGTGACAGCCCATGCCCTCCTTAAGGGGATGGGGTATCCTCACTCACATTCGTGCTCCCTCCTTGGCTTTCCCTGACACAATCCTGCTGGTGGTGGTCAGGGTGCGGTGGGGGCACGGTTTGAGAGCTTCTTTATCGCCTGGTGAGGGTTGTAGTCTAGCCCAGAGCTACTTAACCTGGTTAATCACCCCATATGGGGTCACATCACTTAAGGGGAGGGGGTATTTGGCAACAGTAAGAAGTTTCTGAATGCACAACAACCAAAAAAAGCAATTCAGAAGCAAATGGTGTAATACACCCAGCAGAGCTTACCTGTGTTACATCCCACAACTTCTCTGCAGCCTTGGTTCTGAACGTACCACATGTTCTCAGAGCCAATATATTGGCAGAGCTACATGTTGTATTTCGCAATACTATCAAAATCATTAGCTTCATTAATAACTGTATTTAATTTGCATACTTATTTTATAAGTCTATATGTCCGGAGTTGTGAGTGGTAAAAGTTTAAGAAGCCCAGGGACTCTGGATTCCCCATTCAGCTCGGAAGAGCGAGGTTTGGCGGTATGGTTGTTAGATAAAATTGAACGCTTATTGCTGAAAAAATTTCAGTCTTTTGAGGCTTCTTTTTTCTGGTCCTTTACTTATGGAACAGGCTTGATAATCTTTTTTTTGGGGGGGGGTCATTTTTGTCAACTTCAAAGAAACCCCAGCAAACTCACCACCCTGTTTTCCTTTGGGTCCAAGACCCCTAGCTGATCCTTCAGCATATTAAGCAGGTAAAATAAGGACTTCATCTTTATGGATGCCAAAGTCTGTCTTTCCTGAAGGAGGCAAGAGTCCATGCTACTTTGTATTTGCAGGTCTGTTGCATGCATGGAGGCATGCATGTTAACGGAGGCATGTGACACATGATGGAGCCTGCTGGTGTAGTGCTGATTCCTGGCACTATGATCCACTACCGGCTCCTCGGGAGAAGGCTTAGTTTTCTACAACAGTTACAGTCTCAGAAACCCCCAGGGATATCGCTGATGGGTCAGCTTTGACTCCATGGCAGCGAGACAGGACACATGATATTTTGTATTCTGCTGTTTCATGTAATAAGCCCTGAACAGCTCATCATGTCATTACCTAATCTTCTATTTTAAATAACTGCATTAATTCCTTTGGGTGTGCTTGTAGTTTTCCCTATTCAGTATCCACTTGTTATTACATATTTGCATTATTTCTAGGATTTTGTGATTACACACAGTGCTTCAATGGACACACTTGTTTAAAAAAATCTAGCCTATATCTCTGATTATTTCTTTATGCTAAACTTCTGAAAGAATTGTTGTCTCAAAGAACATCCTGGCAGGCCCTGAGTAAACAACAAGCTCGGTTCCTAAGTGTGTCTTGGGAAGGAATTGTCAGTGAGCCCAAGAGGGAGCTTGTCGTTCTTCTTGAGCAGCCCCTTAGAGCCAGGGCAGGCTCGCCTCCTTTGCAGGGACCTCAAAGCTGCAGCTGCAGCCAGGGAAGGTGACTATGATGAAGAGCCTGTGGCATGTAGGGATTGGTTCAATCCTTTCAAAACGAGGGCAGATTTACATATCATTACAGGCCACAAGGTTGTCCAGATGTCAGACATTCCTAATCCTCAGACAGCCTTCCATAATGTCCCCCATTCAGTTTGCTTAGTTTGGTTGCATGCAGGATGCACACAGGAAGGCCAGTGGCACTGCAGCAAACACACGTCTCCAAACACACGCATGCCACCTGGGTAGGGACCAGCCATGGATCGCAGTGTGTCTGTGGGCCCTTCCTTGCTGTGAGACTTAATGATCGACATGATTCCACTGCAACTCAGTTTCTGCTTTGTTTTAAGTTGGATCGTTTTTTAACTTGCCTGAAATCCAACTCATTTTTTCCCCCCAAACAGGTATATGTTTCATGTGGAGAAAATTGGATCAATCCTGACCTCTCCATTCATCAGCAAAAGAAGCACATCCTCCTAAGGAACCTAACCTCAGATATTTCCAAAATTCAACTCTTCTGCAGTCTGCAGAAGACTGGGGGTAAGCATTGGAAATATTAATTTTTATACAGGTCCAATACAAGTTTTTTTTATGCTACTGCTTTTTAAGAAGCCTTGATGCCACTGTCTGGCGAGTGTTGGACTATAACCGCAAGGTCATGGTTCAAAACCCCCGGGTGCTCCCTGAAGGAAAGCTGAGGGTACCCGCTCCCGGACAGGCTCACGTCCTCAGCAACTCCATCTACAGTGCCACCATGAGTCAGGATCAACTCAATGGCAGGGGGTTTGTTTTGGTTCGCCTTTCTTTAATATGATTTTTCTTCAAAACCATTTTGTTGGCAGCTAATATAGCTATCATATCCTAGTTCCATCACATTGAGCAGTATTGTACAACTGCAACCACAATCAGTTTCAAAACATTCTCTTCCTGCTTGATCTCCTTGATGTCAGGTAAATGTTACCCCTCCCCCCTCACTGTATCCCAACACCCCCACCCCCACCTCACCCAAAGACCCCTTATTCTACTTTTTGTCTCTATGGGTTCACCAATCCAGAGTTTCCCCAATATAGAATACAAAACAAACCCAGAAAACGTTGAAAGCCAGATCAGGCCCAATGCATATCAGAGGGGGCATAAAGTGACAAGATTTTAACTGTTCACATGAGGTTTATCATTTGATCTTCTATAGTCATCTCCCCAATGCTCTCTGTTTGGTCACCAGTTTCTGCCCCTCCCTCCGTTATGGAGAGAGAAAAGTCACCGGAGGCTCATTTCCGGTGCTGATCTCACAAATGTATCTGTTGCTCCCACTGTCATCCATAGCTCTCTGTAACCAGAATCTCACAATTTAGCTTTTGACATTATCCCTCCTTCATCTTCAGATTATATGATTTACAATCCTTAGGTCACGGATGCTGATGTGCTTCTTCCATGTACATTTAGTTGACATCTCACTTCGATGGCTGCTTGATTTGGAAACAAGCCTTTAAGACCCCAGATGCTATTCTATTCTGAGCACTGTCAAAATCTTCACCTCACTTTGCTAGAGCACCATATCTCCCTGAGGGTATCAAGCAGGGTCATGATGTAAAAACTAATTATTCTTAAATTGGAGCTAGGATTTAGTGCGAGCCCAGAATTCATTCCTGGATCTGTGTTTTATCTGTCTTGGGCTCCCCTTAGAGAACTCTTTGTTAATTTATGGTAGGGAATCTTAAAGATTTTATGTTAATATTGTCATTGATTAACTCCTGGTACTAATTTTAAAACACTGCTGAGAGAGTGATATTGGACCAGTTTAGGCTAACTGCATATCATAATACCTGAATTATTTACTTGTACAAAATAAATCCTTACGTGGCTGAACACTGTTTACACAAACCTTGGGAACCGGTTGCCAGGCAGAATTCACAATAATATTCACTGATGATATCAATCACAGATCTGCCAGAATAATATATATATCTTAATGCAGCAAATCGGGCATTCATGTACTAAGTCGATGTTTGTCCGCGTACCGACAGTTCAATCCTCTTTGTATAGCTATCTTCTGGCTCTTTAAATACCATGCATTTTCAGTCTTAAGTCCTCAGGTTACAGGTGTGTTTGAGGTAGAGTCCAATTCACCTAGTGGAGTTTCCACATTGGATCTCTCAGGTGTGGCCTTTGATGCATATTGTGAGCCTTGAAGATCCAGGATTTATTACCCCAGTGTTCTATGACACTTGGCCAGGGTCCCCAGGTTGTGTCTAGGAACTCGGATTGTGTCCAGATACTCCCCATTTAGGGGCTTTAAAAGTACTGTTAGTCATTTTTCGCTCCCCACTTGGAGGTTGGTCCTCCCTCTTTTTCTGACAACAGGCATGCCCTTGTCTTCCCCCAGACATGTCTACTCCCTTTCTTCCCTCCCAACTTGACTTGCCCAGGTAGGGAGATCTACCTGTCAGGGGGGACCTCATCATAACTTTGATGGCAACCACTAAGCAATCAGCATCACCCCCCGCCCCCCCCACCCCCCGCCCTTGACTATTTGATCCCAGCGGACATGAAGAGCCCTTGCCAAAGTGCCCTTCAGGATACACAGCTTGAGACGATGGTGAGTGGTTCATTGACACTGGTCAGGCCCTCCACCAGGTTGGCTGCGTTGGCCAGCAGACTGGATGTCCTGCAAACCTGAGCTTATGTCTGTCCTGTTGCTTGTCCCGATAACAGCGGACTCATGCAGTATTTGTCCTTTTGTGATTGACGAACTTCACTCAGCAGAATGTCTTCCAGATCCCTCCATGTCGTGAGGTGCTTCATAGCTTCATCACTGTTTTGGGGGGGGATGCACCGTATTCCATTGTGTGTATATATCAAAGGGTTGGGGTTTTTTTTTTACAGTAAATATTTAATTGTCTCCATGAGTAACTAGCACAAGTCTTTCTGGGAGGCAGAATCAAGCTACCAAAGGGTTCAGGCGGTGTGGGCTTCCTGGATTCGAGCCCCCTGAGCTACTGACCCCTATTCCACACACCAGGTGACACAGGAGAATGAGGGTTGAGGAATGGAATGTGGCTTGAGAGAGAGAGAATGCCCTGGAATGCTGGTGTGGGAAATACAGACCCAGCCTTGCCCATTTGCCTGCAGCAGGGGGAGTGGGAGGGAGAGAGAGAGAGAGAGACAGACTAGCCCCCAAAGAAGGGCTGGAACTACATTCAGCCTCAACCCCAAGACTTAGGGAGAACCAAATGATTCTCTGTCCAATTTATCTTAGGAACCCTTCCCACCTGATCTTCACTTGACCTCTAGCCTGTCTTCCTAATGTTGGATTCCAGATGCTACAATTCAAGCCCTGGGGCTCCTTGCTCCATCTTGTCTCCTGGCCTCACCCAGGGGAATGTCCTGACCTCCTCATCTGGCGAATGTGAGAGTTTGGGGCACTTCCTGGCCATTGTCAGCAGCAGGGACTTGGCTCAGCTAGTCCAGCGAGTGTGTGGCCCAGTGGAGGCCAGGAACCTGGCTAGTGCTAACCACTGGCTTCCCACCCCATCTCTCACCACTGGACACACTGCCCTTTGTACAGTGAAGTGAGCTGGATGGTTTCTGTGCTGGGAACCAGGGCTGGGGCCCATGAGCTGAGGCATCTTAGGGGAAGGTGTGAAAGACAGAGGGCAGGCTGCAGCTCTTGTCAGAGGTCAGGGAAACTAGAAGCTTTCCAGCACGAGGGGAAGGAGGAGGGAGGGGGAAGGCAGCAGGGTCTGCGCAGAACTGTCAATCTTCAGACCAAAGCTTTTTTTAATATAATCGCCTCCTGATGGGAATTTTGGCTGTTTCCAACTTCTTGCTCTTGTTCACTGTGTTCCAATGTGCATGGTAGAGCAGGGATCTGTTCATGGGTGTCTCTCATTTCGGTGGGATCTATGCCCGGTAATGGGATTGCTGAGCCCAACGCTATTTCTATTGCCATCTGTCTTCGTAATTGCCATATCACCTTCTACAGTGGTTGGACATGTTTACAGTCTCACCAGTAGTGGGTAAGTGTTCCAATCTCTTCGCAGCCTCTCCAGCATTTGTTGTTCTATGGTTTTGTGTTTTGTTTTGTTTTGCTTTAATTGGGCTATGGTTATGGGTGTTAGATATAAATTTATTTTTAAGAGACCATTTTACTCCTGAATGTTGCTGTTTGGCTCTTTAGATTGCATATTTAACAGGATCCCCGATGGCTCAGCACTTAAGCTTTAGGGTACTAACAGAAAGGTTGGCAGTTCAAATCCACCAGTTGCTTCAAGGAGAAAGATGAGTATGCCAGTCTGCTTTGATAAACATTGCAACCTTGAAAGCCCAGGGGGGTAGTTTGGCTCAGTCCTGTACTATCACCATGCATCAGAATCAACTTACGGGCAATGAGCCCAGTCGCTGTGTTGTAATTAACACTACAATTGGGATGTGCTAAAAAAATAAACTTGATTTTATCTATAACACATCTGGCTGTGTGGTGTGTGTGTGTGAGCGTGTGTGTGTGTGTCCACTATCATTCCATCTAGAAAAAAAAATCTTTAGATCTAAATTTTGTCCAATCCATTCATTTAAATTCAATCTTTCAGGAGGACTTTCCTATTGCTGTTTTTAGACCCTCACTGTGGATCTTCTCTAGCCAGGCCCGGTTGCATATGCTCTCACTCCCTGGGCTCAGCACGCTGAAGTCCACAGCTATAGTGGTCCATAGTCCATTATTTCGGTGTAGGGATTGCTTTGGGTGGGTGGTGTGCTTGCTGCCTCATTTGACCTCTGGTCTGCTCCCCATATGCTCCTGAGGCCAATGATGGACTGAGTGTTCATGCCCGGAGCAGTCCTTTCCACAGATCCATGAGGATGTTGCCCCTGCTCATGCTGCATCCTAGCTTGTAGCCACATCCCCAGAGACCGGATCCTACGCAGTACCTGGGTCTCATGATTGTGCCTATGCTGCAGGGGCAGGGCAGCACAAGAACTGGGCCCTCATCATATCCTGAACAGGTGTTCTCAGTGTTTCTGTGCTCAGCTAAGGTGTCAGAAGGGAAGCCATTGTGTGGAAATCAGGACACCCTGTGCTGGGTAATGCCTTTCCCTGTCTTCTGCCCCAGTTTCCCTCCGGTTCCCAAAGGGTGCTTTGTCTCCAGGTCAGTTTTGCAGGGAAGACTTCGATGTGCTAAAAGGAAGCTCAGGCACCTGGAAACATCTTCAATCACAGGGATGGGGCGCTGTCCTGAGTTTGCATGTCAAAACGAGCTGTGTGGTCTTGCGGTCCTTTTGTCACCGTTCTCATCTCCTGCTGGCTGCCCCAGAACAAGAGTCAGGGAGACAGAACAGGCACAGAGAAAAGCTCATCTGTGTAATTTAACATGCATTGCACACCACATGTTTTACATGTGCCTTTGTAGTCATGGGGAACTTCCACTGGGGACTTTGTGATCTCAGGCCTAGGTGAACCTAGGCCTCCTTATGAAATGAAAATCTGACACTTCAACATGTGAGACTGTTTACTACTTTTTAGTAAGTAAACACAGAATAATCGGGTGCCTACCTTGGTTATTGATAATCTGGTAGAGAATGACCACTGCCATTGAGTCATGCTGGCTCACAGTGACTTTGTAGACCAGCTAGAATTGCCCATATGTTGGTTTCAGACACTGTAACTCTTTACAAGGGTAAAAAGCCTCATCTTTCTCTCAAAGAGGTTGGGGTTTTGAGCTGCTCACCTTGTGGTTAGCAGCCCAACCTGTAACCTACGAGGCCACCACCAGAGAATGACACAGTTCTTCGCGACCTAACGACATGTACATCAATAATGAGGTCTGTTAGAATCATTAGGGACAGTTTGGTAGAACAAGTTCTGTGTCTTAATATTCTTGCCTAAGAATATCTTGAGTGCAAAGAATCTATAAGAATTAAGTTAAGAGAAATACAATTTATTAGTTTCAAAAGCAACCTTCAATTACCCTCAGGATTTTTTTCTCTTAGACTACAGCTGGAAATTCTCTCTTTTTAATTATTGTGTGTATCCACATTCTTCCTGTTTTGCAATCATGACTTATGTCGCTGCAATGTGTGCCTGTCTGCCCAGCTCTCTTTCTAGAAGTCCAGAGTGACATTGTAGCGGGAGCCAAGCTTGCTGTGCATAAACCTGTAGCAAATTCTGGAGAAGAGAAGGAAATTATAGACCCAGAGGAAATGCAAATGCGAAAAAATGCTTCGGCCAGAGAAAATGTTTCTGGTGAGATTCTGTAAGTAATCAGCGGGGCCAGAAAAGCTACAGAGTTGCTGTTTGAACTCAGCTCATTAGCCCTGTAACAGAGCAGAGCCCTTCCCGGGAAAGCAAGGCACGTGTGTGGAACTAACGTCAGGTGAAGAGCGAGGGTTTAATGAGTTTTCTGGTAAAAAGGATCCAAGTGGAGCATCTGTGTTCTTCTTTCAGCAATTTTGTGTTAAATGGTATGATTTAAAAAGACAAGAAGCTTAACACCTTAGAGAGTGATGTGAGGACGTCCTCACATCTTGCTCCGTAAATGTTGATTTTAGGGTTGGGGGTGGGGGGCGGGCCCGGATTAAGCTACTTCTCTGGTCTAGGTTCAAGTTACTTACCGGTTATTATGCATGTATCAGTCTTTCACGTGTACCATTGTAACGGCTTCCTGTTTGGGGTCCCCATTCCATAATCTCTCATCAATTTTAAATGTTTATCTATCTAAGAGCCATTAAATTCATGGAATTCTCGTATGACATTGTTTTCTCCAGACAGGAAAAAAAAAAAAAGCAACAGTATAGTCTGGAAGAAAGCCTTTCTTACCCTGGTCCAGGACTGAGTGACCCTGGTTTACAGCCCAACGCCCTGCTGTTCTTTTCCATCCAGGCACCTCTCCCCAGCTCAGGCTCAGTCCCGATCGCTGCACCCTGATCATGGCACACTCCGCTTTCTCTCTGAGAAGGAGCCCCGGTGGTGCCGTGGGTAAGCACTCAGTGCCATGTGAAAGGTTGGCGTTTTGAAAACGCCAGCTGTCCCACGGGGCGGATGTGTCTGCTGCCATCGAGGCCTACATCCTTGGAAACTCTGCGGGGCAGTGCCACGCTGTCCTGCAGGGTTACTGTGAACCAGAGTGAACTCTGACGACAGGGGCATGTATTTTTGGTTTGGGCAGGTTCCTGAGGTTATCTGCAATTGGAGTGCTCTACTGACCCCAGTGCTGTCTTTTACAAATGATTCTTCATCTCTGAAATCCATCATGTTAATGACTGGACTTGGAAGTCTTCCCCAGCCTAAGAACTCTTTGAGAGCAAGGGCTGTGTTAGTCCGGGTAGAATAGAGAAACAAATTCATGGAGACACTCTTATGTGTAGAATAAAGAGCTTGATATACAAGACCAATTGAATATTGAGAAAACATCCCAGCCCAGTCTAGATCAACTCCATAAGTCTGATATTAGCCCATATGTCCAGTCTATAAATTCCTCTTCAGACTCATGCAACACATGCAATGACGTCAAATGCAGGAAAATCACAGGTCAATAGGTGTAAAGTCTTGTGGATCCAGTGGTAGAAGAGGCATTTTAGCGCTGGCAGGGGTCTCCATGTGGTTCCTTCAGCTCTGAGGCTCTGATTGCCATCAGCCTGTCTCCATGTGGCTTGTCAACAAGAATGTCTCTCTGGGAGTGAGTGTGTTTCCAGTCTCCAGCGAGCTATTTATCTCTTTAGCTCCTCCAAATGAGGTCATCAAGCTATGATCTGATTGATAGGCTAGACTCCACCCCTTCACTCTTAATCCTCTTGACAACAGATTATGTAACTACCATAAGGACTCTACTCTCATACCCCATGAAGAGCAGAGGTTCCCCCCAGCTTTATGAATACATGATTGGGTGAGAGTCCAAATGGTAAAACCAATAAAAGATAGTCCAAGTAGTAACTGTGAAAAATTAATTTATATATCATTGTTATGAACTATTCCTAAGAGATTGGTTTTATGCTAAATTAGGAGACCTTCAACTTTTGGAAACCAATTTTCTTTCTGTGATAGGAAAGTGATATTTGTGCGTGCACACACACACACACACACATACACACAAGCATCAGAAATCATCTTTCAGGGAATATATGATTTGACCCATCTGGTATCTTATTTAATGTCTAGGAAATTTACCCCCAACTCTCCCAACATCTCCCCCAATACATTGTTTTGCCTTCCAATTTTCTAAAGACTGTATCATCTAGCCTCTTCATTACATTATTAGAGTATACATCATGGGGAGGAACAGTGGTTGTGTGTGGGAGGGGGAGGGGAACAAAATCAGAAAGTAAAACCAAACCAAACCATGGAGAGCAAAGATCTCATAGATTTCATCAAGACCTGGAGGTTTAAATGATTCAGTCCACACATACCACGATGCAGAAATCTGCGCGCCCCAGGCAGGCTCTGTAGCCGTCTCACAGTGCAGTTATAATGCGCTCATGTGTTCATTACCTGTCTCCTGGCCTGTGGAAGGTAAGCTCCAGAGACCTGAGAGCGCACTTGCTTTGGTCATCACTGTGTCTGCCCTCCAGCATTATTACACTACCCTTCTTATACCACTGTGCTTCTCACCACGGCCCAATGCCTGCCCTATTCCAAACAAACCACTGCCTAGCGAGTGGATTCCGAGTCACTGCGGCACAACAGGGATCTGAGACAGTGGATCTGTACAGGAGCCTCATTTCCCCCCAAAGAGCAGTCAGTGGGTTTGAACCCTGACCTGTAGTTAGCCTAATACATAACCCACTAAGCCACCACAATTCCTTGGGCCTGCCATATAGCAAATGGGAAGTAAGTCCCGGTTAAAAGAATGAATGGATAAATAATAAATTATCAAATAAACGAGTTAAATCATTAAGAAAAATCAATTAATATAGCAGGATGGAATTTTTAATGAACCACGATTCTAAAATTGATTTGACAATATTTCTTTTGTCAGAACCTCAATATCTAACCCAATAGTCCAGTCGATAGATCAATTCTAAGTGAGGAAATTAAACATTGGGTTTTGGAGACAAATCTCATTCGCACCTTTCTAAATATATTAAAAATAAAGACATCAGTTTGGTTTTTGGTTTTACCTCTTTTCTTCCAAGAAATGGGGTTGAGGGGAAGCCATGTTTCTCGTTTTGAACACAAGATGGCACTGTTGCATTTTAACTGTTGGAAAGACAGTTGACTTGGCGCAGAGGCTTCATCGCTCAGTTGTTATCCAACCTTTTCATAGCTGCGTTAACATTTTTGTTGCATTTGAAAAATGTGCGGTCAGCTCTGCTAACCCAGGGAATTGTCCCTGAAGATTTTGGTAATTTGATATCGCTTGTAATTACATAACAGTATCACAAGTACTGTGGCGATCCTGGTCTCCCACGGAGAACTTTATTTACACATATGCCTGTTCAGAGTGCTGAAATATGCTGGCTGCGGTCCCTGCATACTGTCCTCGCCTCTGGCCAAGCAGACTTCAGGTTGTGTCCATTCCCGCTGACGGCAACTGTGCCCAACACAGGCCTGGCCAGGGAGCTTGTTGCGTATAAATCCACATAGTGGCTGCAGTTTCCATCTTCCTCTTAAGAAGAAGCCCAGACCCTGTCTCCATGATTCACTCTTAGGATTAACTCTGAATGTCTTGGCATGTTGTTCTCTATCACACGTTGGTTCCTATGTGCTGCGGCTGCTGGGTTTTCCCTTAATTTCTCAATTGAGAGTGGAGAAAATAGTTCATTAGGATTCCTTAATACTGTCTAGTGAGCAGTTTATGAAACCCAGTACCGGAGACTGTGCCCTTCCCGATAGAATTATCACCCATTTTCGTCAAGCCGTCGGAGCAAGTCTTACAACCTGTTTGCTCCATCTTTATTAAATCACCAAGTACTCTGTATCTCTGTGTTTTTGAAATACAGTACATGGCCCTACTTTTTAGGAGTAGACACCAGGAAAATGAATGCTCCTTATGGTGTAAGAATTTTATCTGTAGCCTTACATTCCATGATCTAAAGGTGTATTCAATTTCTAACGTGGACATATCACTTACTGATCAGAATGCGCTCAGAGAAAATTCTCTGAAACCAAATCAGAATTCTCGCTCAGACTTGTGTTTGCTTCTGAACCTTGATAGAGATGCACACGCCAGAGCCCACCTCCGGATGAAGGCTTGCCACTCGCTTCTCAAGTATGCCTGGCAGAAATCTACTCACGACTTTCCGGAGGCAGACACTTTTCCAAAGAAAATGGAAGAAGGGCTCTTTGAAAACATGGAACCTTCGAAGAAAGCCAGGTAAAATGCTGCACGTTGAATCCTGTTAGAGATTTCTACCTGGTCTGTGATTTGCTCACAGAAATATTCCCAGGAGCTAGCACTGCTCTTAGCCTCTGGGTTATTCCAGTGCACACATTCTGTCTTTCCCACGTTTTGGATGAAGCGGTTTTCAAGTATTGGGGAGAAAGACCCTCTCTTCTTGTTCACTGGAGTGTCTTTTCTATTAAACTCTGAGCTTATCTGGGCCTGTCCCCTGAGAGTTTACACTGAGGCCGAACAAATGCTTGAACGAACTTCCAAGCAAACATGCAAAATATCCTGATGACTTTGAAAAAGAAAATTTTTATTGTGTTTTCTTTTTTTTTCTTTTAATTTTTGGCTGGTATCAGAAGGAATGACAGAATATAATGCTTAGTATGCTGTAAACGTTTACATATTTGCTTAATATTAAAGCACTTTCTGGAAGCTGTGAATTAAGTGATTTTGGCACTTCAACATTTAGCATTAGTCCATATGTACAGTAATAGATATTTATAGATTAAATGCTAGCACATTTTAATGTTTAATAAGTTACTTTGTACTTTACAATCCTCAAGTAAGCGAATGTTTAAAGTGGACTTATCAGTTTATTATTTGTAGAACCATTCTATTCCCTGAATAGTTAGGGGGGATTGAAGAACTAGAAGAATATTCTATTTGCCAGGAATACTGTGCAAAGGTCCTAGCAAGACCTATAATTTAAGCAGAATTCACTGTTTTCCCTCTGCTTTGCTATGCTTGCTGTCTTGATTTTTTATGATTAATATTACAAAATTCCACAAAATTGGTGGTGTTAAAAAAGCAGAAAAGTGTTGATCACAATTCTTGTGGGTACAAATTAAGAGTTTGGGCCATGTTGATTCCTTTTGAGGGCTTAGCTAGGAGAACTGTTCTATTATCTCTTGTTGAATGGTGCTAAACTCTAAACTAAACTTGCCGCTATTGAAACAATACAACTCATAGAGACCGTATAGAACATGGTAGAATTGCCTCTGTCAATTTCTAAGACTGTATGTGGCTCTATGGGAACTCGATAGAAAGCCTCCACTTTCTTCTGCAGAACAGGTGGAGATTTTGAACTGCTAACCTTGCAGTTAGCAGCCCAATGCATAACCACCACACCACCAGGAAGCTGCAGATAATCTCTTGCCCTGTAGGGCGGGTCATCACCTGCTGTCTTTCCCCTGTATGAATGGCTTTGCTTTTGCACTGTCTTTGTCTTGTACAAAACACCACTCAGAGGAATTAGGACTAGGACTCACCTTACACCTGTGTAGCATCATTAACTGTATTTCCCCCAAATAAAGGCCACATTCACCAGTTCAAGGGTTAGGACTTCAGCATGTCTCTTTAACAGAATTCAATCCATGGCACCCATCTCTCAATCTCTTACTACTATTGCTTCTCCTTTGCTCCTCCTCCACTTCCTCCTCCTTCTCTTCTTTCTCTAATTGCTTCAGTGGAATTCTTTTTTCTCTCTGCTGATAAATTTCTGATATGATCTTTGGATAAACATTTATTTCAGTCAGAATATACTCACCCTTCCATTTTTTTACAGCAGTTTGCAAGCACAGTACTAATGATCTTGCTGCCATGTGGGCGATGACGCTTCACTGACATGTTAGTATGATTCACACTGGGTTTCTTGCCAACAGCATTTATAGGCTACACTACCTCAAGTGCATGGGACATTTTTCTGCCACTAATAAGCGTTTCTTTATCTCAACCATTCGCCAAGGCATGGTAAATTGCCGAAACTTTGCTATCAGCAATTTGAATACAGAGATGGACAGATTATAAGCCTCGTTGCTCCTCAGCTTGTCCTGGGGGTACCAGGTCCCCACCTCTGTTCTGGCACTGATGTGGTTTTAGTGGTGAAGGCATCTGACGAGAGTCATCAATTCTGGATACACAAGGAAGACAGCAGGTAAGCACATTTTATTTGGGGCTTAGTATATACAAAACTAGGAGCATTGGTGGCCTAGTGCCTATGTGTTCAGCTGCTAAATGCAAGGTTAGCAGTTTAAAACCACCAGTCACTCCACAGGAGAAAGATGGGTCTTTTTACTCCCGTCAAGAATTACTGCCTTGGAAACCCACAGGGGCAGTTCTGTCCTGTCCTCCAGACTGACACTGGGTCATCATTGACTCAGTGGCCATGAGGATGGTGTGGGTTTTGGAATATACAAAACTGAGCGGAGTGTAAGGGGCCTAGCATGGTTCCCATAGAGCAGGCGGGCTTATATTTGAAGGCTTTAGATTTTATCTAACTTGGCAGATCCCCTGCCATCCTTGCCAAGCAAGAGAAAGAGAGAGTGACATCAAATGTAGATGTTCAGTAGACAACACACAATTCATTCACAATCAGATTCAGATAAGAACTATATAGTCTGACTGACTGAGTGCATAGTTTTCCCTGGCTATCGAGGAAAGGTACTCATTGAATTGTATTTTTATGATATGCAATAATTGAAAGTGAATTCTAAAGAGTCCCCAGTTTTTAAGTTTTGCCAGGTATTTCATTAACTTAACCTCCCAGACCCATATCTTCCTCCTTCATAAAATAGCCAACCAATGTAGTTTTCACCCACACAGAAAAAATGAATTCTCACCTTAGTAAATTTACCAACTGCATTCAATGCCTGGCTTTGATGAGCTCCAGACTCAAACTAATCACTATCAAAAGGTTATGATTGAGATCATCAGAGTCAGGGTATAAGAGGTTACGAAAAGATTCTTGTTACCTTTGTTGGGTATGAAAATGTTGTGGTTTTCTCTTTTTTAAACATTTGATCAGTTGGATATAGGTTGTACGATTTACAGATAAAATTAAAAGAAACCTCAGATTTTCATAAAATACTCTAAGAAGAACACTTTTTAAAATTTGAATGTTAGGGAAATGACTGAGAGATGAGTGGCAGAGAGCTGCTTGTTGTAGTCCATGGTGGCCCATTATACTATTCTCTCTGTTTTCATGCATGTTCAGACATGTCTTTAATCTAAAAAGAGAAAGGGGGAAACAAAACCTTCCCTATTGTTAAGACTGACTTCCTTCCAGTTCTCTGGCAGCGTTCTGTGGGGCCAGGGGTTCTCCAGGGGCCTCTTTATTCTTTTGAAATATTATAAAAAATGCTGTGTGTTTATGAACCAGAGTAATATATATATATATCCCCCACCCCACCCCCCATGCCTGGGGAAGAGCTGTGGTTTTCATTGGATTCTCCGTGTCTGCCATGCAAAAGGCTTATGACTGGCTGCTTTGAGGAAGGTCACATAAGCTTCAGCAGGGGGCAGCAGCAGGCCCAGCAAGGGCAGGAGAGGCGCTTGCCTGCCTCTGCTCAGGGCCTGAGAAGAGCAAAGCTGCCAGCAAGCAGCCCTTGCTGGGCTTCTTTTGGAGAAGGCAGAAAATGCCAACCGCGTGAGCCACCTGGTGAGTGTGTTTCTTCGACTTTGCCCTGCGGAGCCTTTTGTCCCAGAGAATGGCTTGCTCCATAGGACCAAACTGTGTACCTTCAGGCACACGTGATGCTGAGGAGCTGGGGCCCTCAGAGAGAACCACACAACCAAACCCCTGCCCTTGTAGAGCTGATGTCTAGTGCTTCCTGTCTCTTCTGTTCCTGGGAGTCAGCCACGCTTCTTACTTAATCGCCCACATGCATACTTACCGTGTTCACTCAATAGCCAACCAAGGTTGCCTTTCATCCACAGAGTCACAATTAATTCTTTTCATTTATTTTCACAGAATACAGCTTTCTGCACTATAGTAGAGGTCCCAACCTCACCTAAATTAGACGTAGAGTTTATGAACAAGGTACGGTGGGGTGGGGGAGGACATACACCGGCAATGAGAGCCAAGCTAAAGCCAAGCACCATGACTGTGACCAGGAACAAGAATTTGGTCGTTGGAGAAGAAGACTTGCTCTGAGCTCTTGTCAATATCTGACTGTTGTGGTTCTTTCTGTCCCTGCTCTGTCTTTCATCCTAACTCCTGTGGAGAAAGCAGCAGGGTGAGGAAGGGGTCTATAAGTAAAATGGAAAGAGAAGTTTGCCCCAATCTGTGAGACACTGGGCTATGAGCAGCACTGCTTTGGAAAATCTAACCCAAGGGGTAGCACAAAAGAGGAGCGAGGCCACCTCTTCCCACCGCCTTCCACTCTCCAGCACACTCTGCAATGTTGTCATCCAGAAGCCCCTTCATGTCCAGCTACAGCAGCGGAGAGGGGCAGTTGGTGGGAAATGGTGGCATTAATTGCTGCTGGGCCACAAACTTGAGTCCAGAGAAAAGAGAGAGAGCAGCCCAGGTGGCCTGTGGGGCAGGGTGTGCTCATGAGCATACGGTCACCAGAAACCCTTGGGCAGGGGAGGCTTTGCAGAGGTTCTAATGACTTGGTACACGCGAGATCCAAAGTGAACAATGGGCTCCAACATAACCATAATTGTGAGGATGACGCAGGAGCAGGCACTGTCATGTCACTCTGAGTTGAACTGACTCAAAGGCACCTGATGACAAGATTCAGGGTAATCTGTGTCCTTGGTGACTAAGGACCTGGGCTTGCTTCCTCATTGTCCCTAGGCGTTTGGCTTTGTGCTTTGTCATGTAATTGGAAATCGTTTGTTCTGATAATTTGGGGAGGCCAGAGCTACCTAAGGTTGCTCTACAAAACAAAAACCTGCAGAGTAGTTCCTTCCTGTGGAGGAGCCTTTCCTCTTCTTTGTTTTGCCCGGGCAGGAAGTTAGTGCCTAGGGAGGCCATCAGAATGGGTACAGATCCTGTCTAGACCGAGGAGGGCCGGTCAACATTAAGGGGGGTACAGATGGCCCAATCATGGCTTAACGCCCAGTGCCTATCACCGCGTCCAGAGTGTTTTACTGTCAGCCATGATGTCCAATCCTTCGGACCTTGACTTACGTTTTCAGTGTGGTCTTCTATTTCAAACAGGAACTCTAACATCTGAAACAATTATCATCAAGATGTCGTAAGGGAAATAATGATTGTGGGAATAAGGTGCGACTGGGTGAGCACATGGTCTAGACTAGAAGTTCGAGCACGGACAGAGAAGGGACTGGAAAGTCAGGAAGAAAGGGCCGAAGATGCACACATTTGGTTCCAGCCATACAGAGGGATGGTCCAAGTCAACTATTGGGAGCATCTGCCATCTCCTCAGTTCACGTGTCACAACACCTGAATGAATTATTTGATCTGTGAAGGGAAGGATAGGAAAGCACCCAGGTTATTTATGTATTTCGAATCCATCACAGGACTCAAATTCAAAGAGGGAAAAAATTATATATATGTATATATATATACACACACACACAGTGTCATGGAATTTGGAGCTAAAAGAGATCTTTGAAATCTTCTAGTCATTGTCACTTGATTACCAAACCCAAACTCACCCAACAGGACAGAACTGCCCCTGTGGGTTTCTGAGACTAGCTCTTTATGGGAGTAGAAAGTTCTGCCTTTCTCCCACAGAGCAGCTGGTGGCTTCAAACTGCTGACCTTTTGGTTAGCAGTCCAATGTGTAACCTCTATGCCACCAGGGCTCCTCACTCGATTGCAGAGTTAGGTAAACTGAGGCTTGAAAGGACTAAGTGGCTTGTAGGCACTCCAACAGTGGGGTAGTGAACAAGATGTTGCTGGATTACAGAGTAAATCTCCACCCTCCTTCTTGGCACACAGGGAGCATTGAATGCACGTCCATACACTTGAGCTTTGTGCAGGATGCACACGCTTGTCCACGCCTCTGCCATGGGCAGGCCTGGGTGACTGTACTGTTCAAAATGGGAAAGTAAAAGCAACAGTGGAGAGGTGGCGCACAGGAAGCATTGGGGAAGCCGCAGGGTTTATTCTAGGCAGCAAAGGAACAAAGAAAGCTACAGAGCTAATCCTGGTATCTCAGTGCAGGTCATTGCAGGAAATCCAGCAAGCCTTCATTATTTGAATAATATTATTGCATGCCAATAAAAACGCTAGTCTCACACATCGCAGCATGCCGGGTCTGCAGAGATGAACAATACAGAGGGCCAGCTCTTGTGCAAAATGGTCTTGATAAATGCCCCAGAGGAGCTTTGTGAAATGGAATATGCATTCCAGATTTAAAATACTGCCTCACTGACTTGTCATAGAAGAAATACATGATAAAATGAAGAGTGACTCTCTTACAGCATTCCAAGTAATATGAAAACTCTGCTCCTTTGTTTTCCTTTACTTCCTCATTTTTTCCCAATGTACCTCTATGGTTTTATGTTCAAGATGTGCAAGTTTAATATGTGGGCTTCCCCCCCCCACCCCTACCCCCACAGTTTGGGAAGGAGAACGTGTTCCTTGAAACGAGAGCAGGAACTCAGGGAGCCTGCCGTGTTTCCTGAGTCTTGCAAGCTTTCTTCTTTGACAAGCCTGCCTGGTCCTGGGACTCTGGCTCTCCCTCCTTTGCTGGCCTCCAGCTCTCCCAGGTTGGGCGGCCCTGCTTTTATAACAGAGCCCCTGCTTCCCTTCTGCCCTCGCCCTCCTCCGGTGGTATTACACATGCCCTGAGCCAGCCTCTCCGCAGCAGGAGGGCCGCTGCTGTTCAGGAAGGGAGCCCTGTTGGCAGAAGAATTGGCTTTTCTATACCAACAACAGTGTGGAATGCTCAGGTCTATTTTGGGAGTTTGCTTTTGTTTTTCATTTTAAGTGATACAAGGAAAGAATTGGGGGGGGGGGGTGATCAATAATTTTCATTTTATTTTTCAGTCCAAGGAGCTTCATATTGCTCCCATACCAGATCATTTAAAGATATTCTGCATACATCGTAAGCTTTGAAATACAACTCCCTTTGGGGGGAAAAGAGAATTTGAGGTACAGCTACAAAACGATGACAACCATTAATCACAGTAGCTGGGATCTGGGTTTCTGGCCGGCACCGTTGGGGCTCAAGCACAGGAACAGCCAAGCACGGAGGAGGGGCGGGAAGGGGGGGGGGGCTCGGCGGGGCTCATGCTGCGGTGTGTGCGGTAGATATGGGTCTGAAGGGACACCTTGGCACTTCGCAACCACAGCCTGGCCCTGCGCTGTGTGTTTCCTCTGCGCTGGCAGAGCAGCAACGCTGTGAGGGGTGCGCTGTGCCACCACTTTTACAGATGAGGAAGCTGAGGCGCCGAGTCTAAGGAAAGCTAAGAGAGGCAGATTCAAGCTTCAAAGGCAAGCGGTGTGGTTTCGGAATCCACGCTCTTGGTCACTCTGCCACATGGCCTCTCGCAGTACAAGCAGTGAAGAAGATGTGGTCCTCTGGGTCCGAGCAGGAGGTAGAAACCACACAGATTAAACAGGGAGAACTTCTTATCAAGAGTGATCAAACTGCGATGAGGCCATGCTTGTCAAATATGAGAACTCTATATGGTACTCTAGAGCTGAGAGAGTGTACCTAAAGATGGACAAATGTACAAGTGGGACACCCCCCTCCCCGCCACCCCCACAAAGTGGAGCTCAGATCGCATTGGAGGCAGAGAAAATACCTAGTTTTCCCAGGGCAGACCTGGTCAGGGGTCAGTGGACAAGGAGGAATAACGCCAGTGGGGGCAGGGCATCGGATGTGCAAAGGGCCTGGGGTCTGGATACAGCAGGTCTGGAGCACCTGGGAGGGCCATGAGGAGGTGATTTCCAGGCCAGGTCAGGAGAGGGCTACAAGGGTACTGAGGACCTGTGTGTTCTGCACCGGGCTGGGCAGAGCATCATCAGATACCTTCAGTCCCAACTGCTTACCGGCTCTGCAACAGCTGGAAACAGCAGGAAAACCCCCTCCTCCTTCAGTGTTCCCCCAAACTTTCTACCCAGAAAGCTCAGCATTTCAATCCTGAAAGAGGAGAAATGCTTCCAGAAAGGACTTCCGTAATCACAGACCATGCATTGTAGGTGAATTTGGAGCTGAGAGGCAACTCCTGGGTAGATGGCGCAGAAATGTATCTAATCTGCCCATGCTACTTTGTAATGTGACTCATCCTGTGTTTCCAAGGACCTTCCACCTGGCAAGTAACCCAAACCTTGTGCTGGCCGTGTCTCTGACTAAGGCCACAAATGAAGGTGGCGGCCACCCGGTTGTCGTTCAGGTAAGACGTGACAAGGCTGAAGAGCAACCCCAGCCCCTGACTGCGTGGAATTCGAGCAAAACCCATGCTTTCTTGTTGCGGACAAAGAAAATGGATCTCGTGGAATCCTAGCTCGATGGCGAATGTCATTGCTAAAACATTTACACTTGTCAGCTTGGATTTCAAATTGCACATGTGTTCATGTAGCTATTAATTTACGTTCATCCAACAGATGGTAGTTGCAGGCTTGTGACGTGCCAGGCTTGATGCTGGGTACTGAGATCCAATGGTGAGAATGGCAGATCACCCCCAGCCAGCATGAGCTCATAGTCCTTGTGGGGCGGGCTGGGGGAGGGCAGGCAGGTGAATGTTAGAGTCATGATTTTTAACTCGGATGGCCAGAAGCACTTGCATGTTCCCCTACTTGGTGACTGGAAGGAGGGACATATAGTCCAGGAAGGTGTGAGTTTATCATGTTAATTATTCTAATATACCCATTTCAAATACAGTCTTGTAAATATGTATAGCGTTGAAACAAATTTTGAAGACTTCAGAGAATCCTGGTTTTGATATCAAGTTTGCACAAAGATATATGGAGTTCCTTTTTCAAATTTTCCCATCATCTTCAATTACTTCTAACCCAAATCGCTCTATTACAAGAATAGATGCCCCCCCCCCACCTCCTCACCTTGTGAAGAGGAGATAGATTGTTAGAAAGTCTCAGATCTGCAGGTATTTTCTGTATCCTCCACAGTATTTAGCATCTTTTTGTTGAAAGGGATACCTTGTCTCCAAATAACATTTGTTTGACTTCCTGTTTTCAGTAGCAGTGAGGCGACTTGTTTTGCAAGCCCTGAATCCCAAATTGGGACATAACCTGGGCACATATCAAAGCTTCATTAAGTCTTTCATCCTGATGATAAGTCTGGATTGGAAATTTCTTGTAGCAGTCACGGGACCTGTAGGATTACTTTCTTCTTGGTCAGATGCCTTTCAGCCCAGACCACATGGAGAGAAAAATCTCATCTGGACTCACATGTAGCATTTTAAGGAGTTTCATAAAATTTACAGATACAGTATCTGCCTCTCAAGGTCCTACTTTATATGAAATGAGTTTGCTCTAAAGGCAATTTTTATGATTTTTCAAGGTTTTGTTTCTGTTTCCTCTGCTGATGTCTAACTTTTATGTTTTGAAGCATTCAATGTCGGAGAAAATCGTAAAAACCATAGAGACTGAGGCATGTGATCATAATATCATGACATCCTTCCTTGCTTTTTTGAGTTTCCAGCCCTCTGAGAGAGACTTTTCTGGTCTGACCCATTAAATCAGTTCTTCAGACTCATTTCCTTTTCCCCTTTACTATTAATCTTACACTTGGTAAAGTAGATGTTATTAATTATAAAGTTCCTTGCCATGTCATGATATGTTTAGCTGGAATTAATCTACTGGTTCAGATTCTGTTCAATTGAAGCTGTTCATTTCTATGCGTAGACTTGAGCCCAGTTTGATAATTAGAATAACTATACCATTTCTATTAAACATCAAGCTCGATTGTATTCGTATGTTTAAAAAAAGCAAAACCAAAAAGCCAACATCCTTCGTCATCAATGGAGTGTGAATTAAAATATCAAGGAACTCTTTTTTCTCTATTAAACTGATGGTGTTTTGAGAGGTGTGAGGCAAATGGGTCATTGCACATACAATGGGGGGTGTCAACTAGGAGAACTTTCTTGAAGCATTTTGATATGACAGGTCATAGTTTTTCAAAAATGATCGCTTTTTAATCAGTCACCGTGCTTCTAGAAATCACAAACATTCCGTTACAGAATCAATCAGTGTTGTTTTGCTCATAATGGGGAAGGTTTGAGAAAAACCTATATGCTTCACTATTGGGAATTAGTAAAATACAATTTCACAGAGATAAAATAACATATATCCTTAAAAAACAGGTCATGAAATAATTGTTAAGAAAAAAAGAAATGCATCTACCAAATTGTAAGCATTTTGTGTTTCTCTTTTTGCAAATCTAAGAAAATATGTGTATTTATAAATATAATGGAGATTGTTTATATGATACTGAAAATGTCAAGAATAGTTATCATTGGATACTGGAATTGTGAATAAAATTTGGGAAGTATCTTTGCTTTCATTGAGAAATTGCTTTCTAAATGCCTATAATGAAAGATATTACTTGTAGAACCATCTACCCTGTTTTCCCAAAAGTAAAACATCCCCCGAAAATAAGATTTACTTACAGTTTTGCCTCTCGCTGACATATAAGGCACCCCCCGAAAATAAGACCTCCCTGAAAATAAGGCCCCTCAAAGCTACCGTAACTCTGGACTCTGGACCGTAGTGGTGGGCGCCGCTGTGAAGCTCACTGTTGGCTGCAGTGCAGCCGGAACAGACAGGAAGTGCGAGGTCTCTTTTAATAAAACAATAAACAATAAATGTGTACCATATTCTTCTTCATGGAAAAATAAGACATCCCCTGAAAATAAGACCTAGCACATTTTTGTGAGCAAAAATTAATATAAGGCACTCTCTTATTTTCTGGGAAACAGGGTAGTAGTCTACTGTCTCTCTATATGACTTCATTTGCTACCTTTTGCCCCCAGAAATATAAGCCATATAGCAATGGGACCTCCAATCAAAAATGGAATTATATGGAAGACACGAAAGCCTTTGTGGCTTTTCATAGTACTGCAGTGGATAAGGAAATCACAGCAGCACACTATGCTGGCGTTTGCACGTCCTCTGTGATAAAAGACGAAAGCATTGACCAACCAGTAAGTTGTTCCTTTCTGCCAAAGAGAAAAGAAAAATGGAGTAAAAGTGAAAAACAGAGTTCTGATGGAAAAGAGGGGAAAGAATGAAAAAATGGAGTAAAATAGAATATTTTAATAAAGAGGGTTTTTTTTTTTCCTAGAAAGCTTAGTGTTAAAATAAGTTGAACACTCATTTTTGAGCAAAAATCACATAAACCATGAATTGGGTTAGGGAAGAACAAAGGACATTTTATGTGACTATTCTGCTTAGATTTTCCATAGCTCTCCATCATTGGCGCAAGCTATAGCTGAGCAGTTCAGCAGCACACCCCCGAGGAAGTATATGCATTCCTGCTGCACTGCCCCAAGTGTGCCTGCCATACTGCATGGGACTCCACCCCAGAACTTGTATTAAAATGCAAGTAATTGTAAGGGACTTTATATTATGTTACACAGCATATGGTGGAGTATGAATATATTCTTAATTTCTAAAGGAAATAATTTAGCAAGTTCAGTTCTTTAGTTCTTAGGAAAGAAGTACTTGTCTCAGACTTCACAAATACTTTCAAATGACTCTGGGTCAGTGGGTCAAGCCACCATGCAGTTGTTGATGATGAGCCTAGGGAAACTGTAAATTTCATAGTGAACTCTACAAGACTCTCCCTTCCCCTTGACTCTAAATTTCTACCTCTACTCCCACCCCTCATCTTCCCTCCCATTGCAATCAAGTCGATGCCAACTCGTAGTGACTCTATAGGACAGGGTAGAACTGCCCCTGAGGGTTTCTGTGATTGTGACTCTCCACAGGAGTAGAAAGTCTCATCTTTCTCCCTCGGTGCAGTTGGCAGTTTCCAACTGCTGATCCTGTAGTCAGCAGTCCAGTGCATAACTACTACGCCACCCTACTGTAGGGTCCTCATTCCCAACTCTGCTGAATACTCTGCAGTTGTGCAAATGTGCTAAACCATTGTGCACTTCTCTGCCTTTAGCTACACAGCCCATTTCCTGCCCCTTTCTCCTTTATCTGTGAATGTCTCCTAGTTAAAGGGGCTTTAGTTGAGCAGTTCACCAGTCAAACCGGTCAAAGGATGCTGAGGAAATCTCCAAAGGCCCCATGAACCAACTTCAAAAAGCCCCACTGTACCGGGTCAGAACAAGAGACAAATGAAGCCAGTGATTGAATACATAGGTCTCTCTACATTCACATTTTCACTTGGATACTAGCAGCCCATGGGTCATAACTGGAGATTGTGGTTATTAGGAGTGGCCGAATTGGTTTTGACTTGCAGTTGCCTGTGCACAGAACAGCAGAGCAAAACACTGCATGGGACAGTGCCGCCCTACCCCCACCATTTTTCTTTTGTTTGAGCCTATTGTCGCAGTCACCCTGTCAATCCATCTCCTTGAGGGTCTTCTTAGTCACTGATACTTGACTTTACCATGAGTGATGTCTTCCTCCAGGGACGAGTCCTCAGATCAACATGCCCAAGGGATGTGAGATGATGTGTCACCATCCCTTCTTCTAAAGACCATTCCAGCTGCATTTTCACCAAGATGGATCTGTTCACTCTTCTGGCAGTCTACAGAATATGAAATATTCTTTCCCACTATTGTAACTCAAATACATCAGTTTTTGTTTATTTTTTTTATTCATTGTCCAGCTTTCAAATGCATACAAGGCCATTGAAAATACCAGGCTTGGGTCAGGCGCCTGGTGCATCTTAATCCTTAAAGTGCAAGCTTTGCTCTTTAACCTTTAAAAGAGGTCTTTATGCAGCAAATTATTCAGTACAAATATATCATTTGATTTCTTGACTGCTGTGTGGAAGCGTTGATTGTGTATCCAACTAAAACATAATGGCACTGGTATAAAACTTTCGATAAATTAATGGATGCAGGCAATGAGCAAGTCTTTGGGAAGTGCAAACAATTAAGCACTCAACTACTGGTCAAAAGGTTAACTGTTCAAACCCACTGGAGGTGCCTCAGAACACAGGTCACAGTGCTAATCTGGACACCTGGGGTCGTTCTGGTGAGAATCAGCCCCACAACACTGAACAACAGCGTCCATAACACACGCAGTGCATGTCAGTAGTAAAAAGAAGTAAGCAGATAAATAAGTGTCCTCTGATGTCAGCACACAATCCCACTGATGAAATGGTCCAGCTGAAAAAAAACCAAGCAGAATTTTTAATCACATCTCTCATTCCAATCATGAATCCACTGGAAACATAGTGGACAGATGAATGTGTGAAAAGACCTGAGAGCAAACAGGCCGCTAAAACATGATGGGAAGAAAGGAGGCAACAAATAAGTTGCAAGAAAAAAAAAAAAAAAAAAGGCAACAAGGGAGAGAGGTGTCACTGGAGATGAAAGGAAGCAAGAGACATGTAAGCCAATTATGATGTAGAGACCTTAATTCTGTTTGAAACACTGTAGAGAGAGGGGGGATAGGAAAACTTGAATACTGACTAAATATATTAAGATGTTATCATTATTAACTTTCAGGTGTGATACTAGAGCTTCAGTAAAAATTAGGGGGGGTGTCCTTTAGAGACAAATCCTGATTTGTTTAAGAATGAAACTATATGATGTCAGATTAACTTCAAGATAAATCTGGCTCAAGAAGGGGGCAGGGCTACAGATGAGTAAGACTGGTAACTGCTGATTTGGTTGGAGATGGTGAAGGGGGCATGGCATTTTATCCTTGGTTTGTGTGTGATGAACACCTCCAGTGACTAGTCCATTTGTGCTTTTATTGACGGATATTAAGAAAGGGGCCTGCAGGGGAAAGGAAAGGAGGGAGAACTCAGAACGATAGGTAGCAGAATTTAAGGTGAGTTAGGAGGGTGGTGACATGAAAGTTACCACAGGCAATGAAGCAGCGGCCCCTGGCCTGGGGGTCTCAGTGGACACCATGCTGTTGTGATTACAAGAAGTATTCAACCCTTTAAGCAGCAGAAGTTTTCTAGTTAAAATGTTTTGTTAGAAATCATTTTGAAACTATTTTACAGTGCTTACCTCTCAATAGCGTGTCCAGAACACCATTTAATCAAGTCAGGACCATCAATATGCTGGTTATACCACCATCCCTGCAAGGAAGCCCGTCTCCAGACCCGATGTGCCATTAACATTAGAATGTCATTGCTTCCAGCCTTTTTCAGTTGGCAGGCCTTGCAAATATATATTTGATTGGGGGGCGGGGGAGAATATATATAAAATTAAGAAACAAAACACTTTCATGTCGATATTTCCAATTTTGCCTTTTGAAGTGATCAAGGTGCTTTTTCAGCATTGCAAAGCGCTCACGAACATGCTCCGCTTGTGAGGCATGCTGTGTGAAGACGTCTTTGTCTCCCCTTTTAGGGATATTATTACATCTCACCTGGTGGAAAGAGCAAAACGACGCTCTGCTTAGCTTGCGGTGGATCCATGAGAGCAGAGAAGGGGCTCAAGCAATTGCCACCAGGGGTCTCCTTCCTCTGCGCCTCGGGCTCCAAGACCCAGAAGCCCTTCTCACTAGGGCCCTTCAAGGTCATCACCGTGGCCAAGGTGCGTAAAGATCTGTGCTCTGTTAGTGCATGTCTGGTAACAGTTTGGAAACTTTGACGCATTCCTTATCTGCCTTGCACTCAAGTTCATCTCGGCTAATCCAATTTATCTTCCTCTGACGCCCCTTTGCCATTTTACCTGCATTGATTTCCTTTTCCCCATTGTAATTGAAAATACATTTTCTTTTTTTTTTTTTTTGAAAATACATTTTCTATTAATCGTTCAGTACACCCTTTGAAGTTAATTGGGCACTTCTGCTGCTTTCATCATCTCCTGACACTTTTCCCTGCTCCCTGCGCTGCTGCTTTTCCGTGAGGAAGTGACTGCACGTCTTTACTCAGCGGAGGAGCATTTTTTTGTGCCTCTGCCCAGAGTAAACCCCTTACTAGTGTGAAACACTGCAGGGAGAATTTGACACGTTGTTGCTAATGACTGCTCAGGTTGGGTGCCCTAGACCATGCATCCATGTCTAATACTATTTATAGCTCACAGAGAGCTCTGCACTCTCTTGTGCTCATAATTTAAACTGGCACCTTTTTAAAACCTGCTGCCTTTCAAGCTGAGAAGTGAGCGGAGGTAGGAGACCCATACACATCTGTAGGAAACCGAATTCTCAGCCATCGAGTCCAGTCTGACTCATGGTGACCTGATAGGGCACGTTCGAATGGCGCTGGCATGTTTCTACGACTGTAACCCTTTACAGGTGTAGAAAGCCTTCTCTTTCTCCCAGAGAGTGACTGGTGCTTTCGACCTGCTGACCTAGCAGCAGCCCAATGCATAATCATTATGCCACCAGGGCTCCTCTCAAAAGGGGTCCTTCCTCGGAGGTGGTAAACTTTGCCTCCCCCATTCCTAGATCACTACTGTCCATCCCCAGGGTATCAGGTTATAATGAGTATCCATAGGCACCATCACTCGCGAGAAGAGACGTCAACCTACTGGGGGAAACCTGAAGGGTTCGGCTTTGTTTTAGGACTGAAGGCCTACAGTGCTGAGGAGGTGGCATGAGCTGATTGGAAAGGGGCTTACATGCACGGGCATCTCAAACAGAGAAAGTGCCCTTCAGAACAGCATTGGGATAGGGTGTTTGACACGCATTCCCACATGGTTAAGGCCACCTGAATCCCTGCATTCACATCAATATCTGCCACTACAGAGTGGTGTCATCTTAAAGTTAAGCGATTATCTGTAATGACGGTGTCCCAGTTCTTCAACCTCAGGTTCTCATTGACCCTGTCACCCTTTGACCCTGTATCCTGTCACAGGGGAAATTCAAGAGAAAACAGGGAAATGTAAGTCCAGTCATGTAGGAATTCAGTGGCAAGGCTGGGAAGAGAAGTGGGGATTCTGCCCCAATGTCCTGCCTTCTACAGCATCCAATATCTTAGCATAGGATGTGAACATTTTAAAAATGTAGATATTAAACATATGTACACAGTCATTTACTAAATAAAAAGACTAACACGTAGGAACTTTCAACAGCTCATGAAATGTATGATTTCTTCTTCTTAAAATCAGGCTGATTTATCTTCTAACAAGGCTGAGGAAACACTACGTTATTACGAAGGATTCCAATTATCTTTACGGACGCAGACATGCTCATGGGCTATATCTCATGGTGGAATGGCAACGCCTCACCAGAAGGCAGTGAAAATAATTGCATACAAAAATGGGAACGGATATCATGATGGGAAGTTAATTGAGGCTGGCACAGTCCCCATGGTAAGGGATTATCACTTAAATGTTTGTGTCCTTACAGTTAATGATAATGGTTATTCTTCTGACAAAAAAGTAAGCAGTGGGATTGAGTGATAAGTATCTCTGGCCAGTCTCACTAATTTAAGCTGATGAGATCAAGATCTTTGCTTTCTCAACAATTTCTTTTTGACTGTGTCTCTTTGGGATATATAATTTTAGAAAAATGGGCATCCAGAACGTGGGTTTTAGATTTGAGTCCAGGGCAAAGATCTGTAAGAGAAGGGGCAGAGAGACCATAAACAGAATTACGTGGTTCTCCTAAAAGACAGGAGTGCTGTTTTCTGTCTTCTTTCCTATCCCAGCTTCAAGCTGGCTGCTGCTTGAATAGGGAGACATCTCACCCCGTGCTCCATCTGGAGAATCGGAGCGTACATGTGTGGTTAGGATGTTTTCCTTCATTTTCACAGTGGACAAGCAGGTTGTGGTGGGAGGGACTAGCTGGTCTCTGGCTTAGAGATGGCTCCCCAAAGAGGCGGGAGAAACAGAAGGCTTCGTGTTTTTCTCCATTTCTTGGTCATTGTCTTGTCGACACAGTTTGGCCAAGGCCTCTCCTAACAGAATGTTCAATAGAATAAAGAGTTATTTGGGGGACTTCCTTACAAATGTATGCAGCACACATATCCATTGTCCTAGTGCTGTAGCTTTGCTTTAACACATGCACCACAAGTGGGTGATTCAAACAGAAATGCATTTTCTTGCCCTGTAGGAGACCTGAAGTCTGAATTCAGGGGACTAGCTTTCAGGGGAAGTGTTCTCTCTTGCTCCCTGTCTCTTTTCTGGCAGCTTCTATTTCTATATCTAGTTGCCTTGGTGACCATATGTCTTGTTTGCTTGTTTATTGCCTCACTTAACCCGCTCTTTAACATTTCAAAAGAGATAGACTTAAAATGAACAAACAAACAAAAAAAACAGTATTGCATCAATTCTGACTCATATTGACCTTATTCAAATACTGCTTTATTAACATAACAAAGAAAACCCATTCCCAGATGGGATTGTAACCACAGGTGTAAAACAAAAGAACCCACTGCTATGCAGCTGATTCAGACAGTGAGACAGAGAGGACCCACTCCTTAGGGATTCCAGGTGTAAATCTTTGTGGTAGAGGCCGGCTTCCTCTCCTGGGGAGCTGCTGGTGGGTTCAAACAGCGGGCCCTGTAGTTAGCAGCCCAATGCACAATCTATAGTACTTACTGCCAGGGCCCCTTCTACAAATATTCCCTCCCCAACCCCCAGAACACGCAAACACAAAAACTTGATTCCAACTCATTAGTTTTCTAAGGCTGTCAATCTTCACAGGAGCAGAAAGCCTCGTCTTTCTCCCAAGAAGTGGCTCCTGGGTTTGACCCACTGACCTGATGATTAGTAGCCCACTAGAGCTCCTTTCAGGTTTAAGGATTAGGATTTAGAACACATGTCTTTAAGGGATACAATGAAATCTGTAACACCTATTTACTTAACTTTCTTGTACAAATAAATATTTATTAAGACATTGTTGGTCAATAGACTAAAGCAACCGATAGAAGCTAGCCAATCTGAGATCAGCCTCAACCCCACAGCTGGCTTTGGGAGCCTGGGGCATAAATATTAACTGTCCAGCCTGTGTTTCAATCTGCGAAATGGAAGTAATAATAAGTGTCACTACTTGGCTTGAAATTTAGGTACTTATTCATTTTAAAGCAGTTCATAACGATGAAGTACTATGGCAATTTTAGACTGTATAATGTAACGAAATTGAAAGTGGATTTCTAAATTGAACATCTCTTAAAAAATACTCTGACATTAAACTATGTCAGCAGCTATGTTAAAATTCTGGAGTTAGGAATTCTCCCACTTGGATTGGACTAATATTTTCAGATTAAGTAAACCAATGTAATATCCAAAATTGTCTCTGATAAAAGATTAAGATTAGTAGTGATGGTATTTTTTGCATTTAATAGGCCTACAGAAATAGCACACATGGGAAACTAAATGCATACATTATTTGCATAAAAATGCAGTACCCACCCCACTCTTTACTCCTTATTTTCTCCAAGGATTTTTTTTTTTCACATTTCTAAAATGACAGGCACTTCATACTTATTCGCAGTTCTACCACGATTTCCACTCAGGTCCTTACAGTCTGCATTGTCTAGCTTCTTACAGAATGCAAGGAACAGCTCGGTCTTCCCAGAACAGCCTGCAAAATGTATACAAAAGATGGAACCGCAGTTCTTACTTTGCGTGATTTGGTTGTATGGGCTCATAAGGAATCCTTTTCCCAAAGAGATTCTAAGGATCAGACGAAACACGAAGCCCCTGTTGGAACAGAAGAGGCAACTGTGAAAAGTATGGAAGCTTGGTAACATTCTATAGGAATGAGCTGGGTCTCTTTCTTTTTGGATCATGCAAAAGTTCAATGTAACAACCTCACCCATTTCTTCTAGGATTTCTAAATCATGTGCAACTACTTCAGTACATTATTCCAAGGGTTTCAATGGGAGATTCTCATGTTATGTTCACCTTGCAAAGAGAAGAAAAATGAAAAGTCTATGACATTTGAATAATTATTATTTCTTGCATAAGTCTTGTGTAGATTTTGGTTTTAGCACTAAATTAAAGCAATAAATTATATAGAATTAGTAAAATATTGTAACACATTGCTACCTAATGAAACATGAACAGCCTTTTGTCTTAAACTCAAAACCAACTTAGGAAAGTGGGGCAGGATCCACTGTAATTTTTTTCCCCCCTTAGGATCAAAAGTATCCGCTCCGTACCTCTAACCCACCTTCACTGCTCCTAGGCTCTCCTAGAAACGCCTCCGGTTGGGGCATAGTGACATCGTATGATCGTGATCTCTTTCCATCTCTTTGTGCGTCCTTGGGCTATGTGCACTTGAGGACAGGGCACTTTGTGAAATGGAAGGTTGTCTTGGTAGCAGTGATTCTGTAGCGTTATGTCAGTGACGCCATCGCACCGTTATAGTGTTGAGAGGTATGATGTAGACGCTGAGAACGTGGCTTTTAGAGCAGAATGAAACCAATCACTGGAGAGCCAATCCTGAGCCATATTATAGTCGAACTGGGCTCACCCGGATTCAGACCTCAGCCTGCCTTCCGGGCGGGAGCCCAGGGTTCAGTTCTTGACCAGGTACCTCATGTACAGCCATCTCCTATCTGTCAGTGGAGGCTTGTGTGTTGCCTTAATGCTGAACAGGTTTCAGCAGAGTTTCCCAACTAACATGAACTAGGAAGAAAGGCCCGGAGATCTACTTCTGAAAATCAGCCTATATGAAAATCTGTGGGATTACAACAATCTGATCCTCAACATGGCGGCAGCCATTTAGTCCACCGAACATGGAGCCACCACCTCAATGGCAGCTAACAAGAACTTCATGATGAATATTAGTTGCTTCCTGTGAGGTTTTAAAAAATACTTATGCAAACATTTAATCACTAGAGAATATAGTTGGCATCACAAAATACCTCATTTTTAGTTTCTGGGGGATTATAATCTCAAACCCTCTGTTTTCAAATTCTGTTCAAAAATATTGTTCTTCATACAAGGTTGCTGACGGTGTCTAGCTGTCCCTTTACCCCTGCATCCTGAAGGTTATTCTTGAATCCGACGGAGACATGAGATGGTGGAGTTATGACATCAGGGAATGCTGAAAAATGTAAAGAAATTGCCATTTGAAGCACGGTATCATTTTTACCATCAAGACAATATGAAACAGTGGCCGAGCATGTGCACTGACTGTGAATTACCTGTGCCACACCTCGTCTTAGTGAGCTTATCTGTAAGAGGCATGGTGTTGAGCCGACCTCAGAGTATTGTTTTGAGGGTGACATAAGAAGATGTATATAGCTATCTTAGTAAAGCGCCCAGCACACAGTAAGTCCTCAATACATATCAGTTTCGACGCATTTCAGGATGCTTTTAATATTACAAATAACTCCTTTCGGAGGCATTTCCCTCAGGCCTCAGGACCAGGAAATATACATCTTCTGGAGAAGCATCAGCGCTGCCCGCGCTGTGGAGCCTACCGCTGCACTCTGTGCTGGCGTGACTGGGCCGCTGATTTCCATCCCGTCCATCCTGGCGCCCCCTGGCCCGGGCTCCACAGCCGCCCTGCCCCGGGTGCCCCAGACCTGCAGGCTCAGCGGGCTCAATCTGCGCAGCGTCTCCATGTTGACCAAACCTCAGCCTGAGCTTCCCGCGCCCCCCGTACCCCCCACGCTGCCGCCAGGAGGCAAGAATCAAGAAGCATTTGAAGCCGAATGCCGACTTGGCACTGTACTGGGCAAAGGGGGCTTTGGTACGGTCTTCGCGGCACACCGGGTAGCGGACCGACTCCAGGTGGCCATCAAAGTGATACCGCGGAATCGGGTGCTGGGCAGTTTCCCTCTGACCAACTCGGCCACATGCCCACTCGAGGTGGCCCTGCGATGGAAGGTGGGTGCCGGTGGTGGACACCCAGGTGTGATATGCCTGCTCGACTGGTTTGAGACACTAGAGGGCGTCATGCTGGTTCTCGAGCGACCTTCACCTGCCCAGGATCTCTCTGACGATATCACGGAGCTGGGTCCACTGGGTGAGAGCCGAAGCCGCTGCCTCTTTGCCCAGGTAGTGTCAGCTGTCAGGCACTGCCATGCCTGCGGAGTTGTCCACCGTGATATCAAGGACGAGACCATACCGATAGATCTCCGCCGACGCTGTGCCAAACTCATTGATTATGGGTCTGGCGCCCTGCTGCATGATGAGCCCTACACTGACTTTGATGGGACAAGGGTGTACAGCCCCCCCCCCCCACGAGTGGATCTCTTAACACCAGTACCATGCGCTCCCGGCCACCGTCTGGTCACTGGGTATCCTCCTATATGATATGGTGTGTGTGTGTGTGTGGGGGGGGGGGGGCATTCCCTTCGAGAGGGACCAGGAGATTCTGGAGGCTGAACTCCACTTCCCTGACCATGTCTCCTCAGGCTGCTGTGCCCTAATTCAGCAGTGCCTGGCTCCCAAGCCCTCTGCTCGGCCTTCACTAGAAGAGATCATGCTGGACCCCTGGATGCAGACACCAACTGAGGAAGCACCCCTCAGCATCCCCAAAGGCGATTCCAACCCCTTGTCATGGTCCAGGGTGCCCTAGGTCTATCCAGCCCCCTCACTGGCTGAAATAGCCACATCATAGCCATGTCACAGTTATAGTTTGGCCACCTACTGATCTGGTTTTACAGGTCATCAACAACCCAATGTTCCTAGGGGGATCGACAGTGTTACTACAGGCGTTGAGGGTGAGAAAGACATGGCCAAGACTGCCTGGTCCCTGTCCCAGTCCTGCTAAGGAGCCTTCTTGCGGCTTCTTGTGGAGTGGGGCTTTCTTGCTTTCCGTTTTGCTAAGGATGTTCATTTGAAGTCACTCATTTTAAGCCTCACAATTCTTAAAATCTAATAGGTTACATCCCCTACTTCACTGGCCCCTCTTATTACCATATACACTTTTGTTCACATGCCCACACTTGGGGCAAGGGTGCTTTCTTTCCAATATCCCAGCAGCCTTTATGTTGACAAAGGGACCCTTTCCCTTAGCCTTAGGTCCCATCTTCGGTCAAGCTGCTTGCCTACCTCAGCCCAGTGTTGCTTATTTTGGGGGAGGCGATGCCCTGTTGTTATCCGAGGGCTTTTTGTTTTTCTTCACTTTTCACTTTTGGTGAGGGGATCCTACTGTTATCTCAAGTGCTCTTATTCTGGTGAGGAAAACCCAACTTCCATGACTTGAGAAAGAATGGGAAATGGGCAACATCAGAAACTAGGGTGGGTGGGTGGCTTTTTTTGAGAGATGAATTAAGATGAATTTTCTGAGAGGGGGAATTACCTGTTTTTGTTACCTGTTCTTCTGGGGCCTCCTCTCCCACATTGGCAGTTTTGTTGCCTAGGAGCCAAGGTTGTCCAGTTGAAGAAATGTAAATACTTATGTATTGGGGGATCTGGAGTGCTCCCCTTCCCCTGTGCCTGGATTATTTAAAAAGCCACGTATGGAAGCCCACTATTTAATAAATGAAATAAAACAAAAAAAAAATACAACTTCTGAGAAATGTGCCCTTATATTTGGATGTGTCCATCTTGACATTGCGTTTTCCTCTTTGCGTTGTCCACTAGAAAGTTCAGAATTCAAATAGTACTTAAGTATGTAACAACAATGTGTAGTGTTACTTAGTAAAAGGTTAATTAGATGTTTGTCCAATAAAATAGGTCAAGCATTATTTCCATGAAATACCATGTATGCTTTAGTATAAGCTGAGTTTTTCAGCACATTTTTAATGCAGTTTTGGGGGTAAAATTGGGTGCCTCGGTTGATATTTGGGTCAGCTTATATTCGAGTATATACGGTACTTCACTTTTTTTCCCTTCTGTTGAATCTTCTCAATAGCAGGCTGAGATAACCACTAGTATCCAGATAAAAGATGAGGACACTGAGGCATCTTATGCACGGCTTTCATCTACCCCTCTGTCTCTTCTCAATTTGACTTCATGTTCTCCATCTCTTTATTTTACTTCCTTCTTATGGTGGATTTTATTTTTTTTGTAAGCTACCTCAAATTTCTTTCAGAATCAAGCAAGGTATAAGAGAGAAATTGGCAACCAGATTATTCAAAATCCTTAGGTCGCATAAGAATTTTCTGACTAAATGCATGTATCAGCATCTGGTTTGGGTTTAAGTCAAGTTGTTAATGAAGAGTAAAATATGTTGAATACATAACTTAATTCGGTAAACAACTTTATTTCTTATTCCTTGTGTGCTGGTAAACGTGTCATTTGTTTTCAGAAAAACTGAGAACAAAAGTGAAAACCAAATCCTTTCCCAAGTCTTTGACGCCGGATAGTTTAAGTGGCAAAGAGGAGTCTTTGCTTGCCCTCGCCCTCAGATATCCTGTTGCCGTCTGGGTGTCTTGTGGTGAACCATTTATTCCTCTGCCTGGTAAGCTTGCTGTTGTTGTAGTTTTTACTTCGTTCAAGCAAGCAGATGAAGAGAGGAGAAAAAACAAAATTTGCTACTATAAAAAATGAATTCAGTGTGGATATAGCAACATGACACCGCATTAATTCCTAGAAGGGGAGGTTCGTCAATTAATATATGCACATGGATAGCAATATCTTCTATATTTGCACAATTGGCTGGGCTTTGTGGGTTTTTTTCTTACTGGAATGGAGTATTCTGCATGGGAAAATGTCTAATTTAGTTGATAAAGAGAGCCTGGGTCTATAAGATTGAGAATAATGGTATACATTAGAAAATAACAAATGAGTTTAATTCACATTGAGGACGACCTGTCTGCACATTTTCATTTTTAAGAATTGCACCCTTTAGGCAGTAGGTGGATGTTTAAAAAATGAATGGTTCCAAGCAAGGCTTTCATCACTTCCAAATAGTTTATGGCAGTGGCAAATGAAATATGAGTCTTGCATATGGTAAATCTATACAATAAAACAGCACTGTTCCTCTTCTCTCCCCTCCCCCACTTATAAAGCAATGCCTCCAGCCTTGTCATCTTTCAAGCAAGATTTCTTTTAATGACCCTTACCTTTTAATTACTTGCTTCTAATTGAATCTATTTCGTGGAGCAGAAAGTTCTTTATAAATTATTAGCTTGCATGATAAATTACTGTTGATAAAAAAATGGTAAGATAAATATCATGCCTTTCTATTGTTCTAGCTTTGCAGAAAGCAGAAAAATCGGAGAAGCCAAACTGGATTAAAAAGGGCAACGTTTTGGCTGATCTACATGCTATGAAACACAAAATGAGGCAGTTAAAAGGTCAGTATGAACTAAATCAAGCATTATCAAGTTTAATTCTAACTGTAATCCCAATTTGCTGGTAGCTATTTTCTACTGTTAGATACCAGGTATTTAACTAATGAGCACTAATATAAATATTGTATTACAAAAGACACTTAAGCAACTTTAAAGCATAAGATTCTATTTCTTGATATTTAACTTATATTTATACATTTCATTGTAAGGTTAATATCACATGCCTTATAGATATGCATTAAAAAGTATGGATGAGCATATCTTGACCATATCACCATTTTATTGATTTTGAAATTATCCCTACACTGACATTTTATGGTCTCTGAGATTAATTTTTAAACATACCTACTATCATTTCTTTGATATTACTGGGGAAGAATGTAAAGGAAGGAAGTAATATAATCCCAGAAATAATATAATCCCCAAAGGCCAGTGTTATTTTCTCAAAAGGGCTTCATTTCGTTATCCAGCTTAAAGGATACTACTTGTAGTACTTGTCTTAAACTTTCATTCTGTCACATAATCTTAGGTTCCTGATGTTATACTTTTCCCATTGGCAAAAACTGCGTGTCCAGGAGCCAGGCCTGACATCCTCTGGCTTCCCTGTTACTCACAGTGCAGAAACCCAGCATGCCTCCACCCTCCGCCCCGACCCTTCTTTACATAACCCGACACCAGCATTTCCTCCCGGGCCTTTCTGCTCCTGTGCTGGGGTCAGCAACTCCTTGGAATGGCTTCACAGAGCTCACAGGCCATAGCCACAAGTAGAGGGGTTTATTAGGGATCTTAGTAGGTTACCACAAACCAGGGTCAGAAAGTAGTTGAAGGATGTTGCTGCCCAGAGCTAGAATCAGAAAACCTTTAAGTCCTTGGTCCACATCAATGCCTCTCCTCGGCCACTCTCTCTCCAGTCCTGCCCCGTTCAGCCTCTGAGAGCCAGGAAGCCAGCTGCTGTTCTGCCTCACAATCTCCTGGTATCCAGACGCCTCTCCTCTGTTCTAGCTCACCGTCTCCTGGCCTTGAACTCTGTGCTTCTGTCCTCAGCCTTAGCCACATCAGACAGTGATCTCCGACCTGCTTTCTTTCAATGGGCCTTGTTTTTCTCCCTTTACCTGCCGAGACAGCCCATCCTTCTAGGCAGCGGAGTGGCAATTAAAGCTGACCAGTCCCCTCTATTAGTGATACACACGCCTGATTTGCATCGCCCACTCAGTCATTTGGTGGGAATTACAGAGGCATGCATGTTACTGTTGCCAGGTTCCATTGAGTCAGTTCCACCTCCTAGGGATGCTATGTGCAACAGAACCACATATTGCCCAGCCTCAGTCCCCCTCACAACTGGTCTTATGCTTGAGCCCATTGCTGCAACCACAGACCCGTGCAGCCCATCGAGGGCCTCACTGAGACATGGAGAGAAGGGCTATTTTAAGAAATTTCCCTCCAACACACCAATAAAGTGATATCAAATGACTCTTTGGGCAGCAGCAGTGCAATTAATAACACAATTCATCCTGAATGCACTAGACAAAGCTCTAGTTTGAAATAGACATTATGATCCAGTTCTGACCAAGAGCTTGGTTGTATCTAAGTTGTATGTTATTTCTACTGACCTCCACTGCTCCGACTAGACATTTTCACAGACATGTCCATGAGCATATGCCTAATGAAATGACCATATCATGCCCGCAGTAATGCCTTCCACCCAGATATTTCCATTCAGAAACCTAGGAGCCATCCTTTACATGCCCCCCTTGCTCTTTCTCACCTTATTGTTTCAAAGCTATTTATTTTATTCTCAAATTAATTCTAAACCTCTCAATCCTAACTATCATTAACCTAGTTGAAGCTACCTTACCTCCCCCTTGGATTGCAACAATCACTTCCAACTGGTCTCTCTGTTTCCACTCTTGATGGTGAGCCTCCAACCTATGCTGAATGTTGATATTTTTCAACAACTAGAATTATCTGCTGAGATGCCAATGATGCAAAAATCATTTATCATGTAGAAAATGTTTTCTACATTTAAAAAAAAATCATCCTGTAGAAGTACAAAAGCTGATGATGGTACTCCAGGTCTAAAACCTTTCGATGACCCTGTTCTCTTTAGAACAAAGCGGTAACCTGACATGCTATATCCTAGACCAGCTTCTCTCTTGCCTCCCCTCTCCACCCACTCCACACATCTGGACTTTTATTTTCGTTCTTGGGACATAACAAAAGCTTACCTCTGAGCTTTTGTCTCCACTTGCTTGTCTCTGCCTAGAACATACTCAGCTAACCTCTTGGCTTGCTTCGACTCACCACGTGCTTGTCCGTGTACTGGTTATACCTTTCCAGTTCACAATCCAACTCTGGTAGTGTGACTCTCAAACAGAGCACCCAAAACCAGACCCAAACAAACAAATCACCTTGAACTCACTGCCATCAATTCAATTCTGACTCAGAGACACCCTATAAGTTAGGGTAGAATTGTTACTAGGGATTTCAGAAACTATAAATCGTTATCAGAGCAGAAAGCTTCAGATTTCTCTGGTGGAGTAGTTGGTGAATTTGAACTGTTGACCTGTGGTTAGCAGCCCAGCACATTTCCCACACTGTCACCTGGCTCTGTCCAACCCTAAAGTTCCACTCTGAGTAGGACTCAGCCCTACTGTAGTCATCTAGTCATCTGACTCTCCCTTACGGCGTATTATACATTCTACTCTCCTATTTGCTCTCTGAATAGGTGTAGAATTTCTGGATTAAGGAATGAACAGATTTTCAACTACTTACTTCAATGAGCAGTCTAAACTCTATTCCTATATCACATGAAATTTCTAGAAAGTAATATATTAGAAATAGTACCTGGCATAGCTATATTTTATGAATTCTGATTTCATGTCATGTCTCAGCTTTGATTACCCCTAAGTCATAAGCAGGTATAAAATCCATGTGGTATTATCTATATCACTCTGAAAAGCAACGTTTGCAGGGTTATTCAGTGTCCATTAGAGGAAGATTCACTGAAGTAGTTTCTCTTAGAATTTAGTGCTAGGATAAATCTTGACTCCACTGACAAAGTGTATATGTTCTGGTATTAAATATAAATTGAACAGAGGCTGTTAAAATATCTACGCTGAGAAAGATCTCTTTCTAGCTGCTGGCATGATGTTAACTGACCACAGTTAACTGATAGATGATAGCTCAGTTAACTGTGGTCTCTATTGGATTATGAGCTTCGTGTGGGCTGAGTGAGAGAGGAGGTATAGAAGGTAGGAGTAGTTGCTGAATCAATTCAAGTTATTGTAGCCACTGACACATACAACAAATATTTATTAAGCATATACTATATGAAAAACACTGTGCTAAGTTCACCTTACCTTTCATTTGTAAGGGATGGCTATGGCAGGGGAATAGAGCTATGTACATATATTTATTTATAAAATACTACAGTAGCAGATGGACATTAAGCCTCCACTCAAGTACTCCCTCAATGCAAGATCAATTTGTTCTACTAACATGGCACTTTGTGATGTTCACCTTCCCTGACACGATTGCTGAAGACAAAATGGGTGCACAAGCAAATGCAGTAAAGAAAGCTGATGGTGCCCGGCTATCAATAGATTTAGCATCTGGGGTCTTAAAGGCTTGAAGATAAACAAGTGACCATCTACCTGAGAAGCAACAAAGCCCACATGGAAGAAGCATACCAGCCTGTGTGATCATGAGGTGTCTATGGGATCAGGTATCAGGCAACAAAGACCCAAAACAAAACAAAACAAAAAGCGTATCAATGGGAATGAGGGGGAGGGCAGAGTGGAGACCCAAAGTCCATCTTAGACAATTGTACATCTACTCACAGAAGGAGCACACAGAAGGGACAGCCAGCTACAGTGCAGTATAGCACCAATGAAACACACAACCTTCCTCTAGTTCTTTAATGCTCCCCCTCCACCCCCATGACCCCAATTCTATCTTGCAGATAAGAGCTTACAACACAGGGAATCCAGAACAGATAAACCCCTCAGGACCAATAAGGGGAGCTGCGATACTGGGAGGGTAAAGGAGGGGGGAGTATGGGGGGGGCCAATCTTAATGATCGACATATGGCTCCCATCCCAGAGGGATGGACAGCCAAAAAGTGGGTGAAATGAGACAGCAGTTGGTGCAAGACATGAAAAAAAAAAAAAGAATAATTGATAAATTACTAAGCGGGCATGGGGAAGGGAGGAGGGAGGAGGGAGGGAGAAAAATGAAGAGCCGATACTAGGGGCTCAAGTAGAAAGAAAATGTTTTGAAAAAGATGATGATAACATATGTACTGATGTGTTTGACAAAATGGATATATGTGTGGATTGTGATAAGAGTTGTAAGAGCCCCCAATAAAATGAAATTAAAATTAAAAAGCAAACAAACTAGTAATCACGGGGTTGTTTTGATTAAGTACTCGATTACAAATATCTACTGCATTGCCTGTCACCTAATAAGTACTCAGTAAACGTTGGTGTGAGAACTCCTGAAAAAGGAGCTCATCTCCCTAACTGGGGTTTTAACACTGAATACATCCAACTCAGGAATAACAGACCAGGGAAGACTCCCACCTTTGTTACCTATCTGGCAACACTGGCGCATTTTGTTTAGTGTGAGAGCTAAAAGTGTCCTAAATGAATCCCCTTGACTGAGGCAGATTTACCCTTTCAGGCCCAGCGGCTGCTGCATCTTTGTGGCCCTCCCATTAAGGCCAGGAGGGGAGAGGGGGGGTTATCCAGGTGAGACTCAAAGTACAGCAGAGCAGTCGGGCTTTCTAGCTCATGGGCAAAAAAGGATAAAAATAGGCCAAGACTCCTCCCAATTGCCAACCAGAGAAATCACTTCTAATACCAGTGGCCTTTACTTGAAAGGAAACAGTAGGAGCAGAGAAGAGACCGTCGGCAGCAAAATGGGATATGTGGGAAAATGTAATAAGAAAATAAGAAATAATTTAGTGAATATATTTTAGTTGGTTTCAATTTCTGTTATCCTACCTCCATAAGTAATAATTTGTTATAAAAAAATGCCCCCAAACTAAAAGCTTTTCTGATGACACATCTCTTTAAGACAATTATAGTGCAAATGTATTCCTTTTCTTAAGCCCATTAGAAGCAAGTTGCCAAAGAGCAAGTAATGCATGATGTTTTTCCTCTATCCTAAATTCAGTCCCTGGCTCTAAGCAGTATAAATCATAAACGCTTACTGAATTATCTTTGGTTAAACTAAAACATTAGTGTTCAAAATGCATTATAAATAAGCTAGTTAATGAAACTGGCTTAAGAATTTATCTTCCATAAATTAATGCTACCTTACTTTATGAATAGAATTGGGTAAAACAATATTTAGTATAAATTTGTGGTGTTTTGAGAGGTACCACTGTGGTTTTCTCCAAGGTTTGCTTCGAGTGATATTGTCACTGTAACTTTCAGTTGATTGATTCAATTATGTTTTCTCCTTCACCCTAAATTGCATCTGAATGCTAGTTGTTAGTAACTCAAAGCAGCCTGATGTACAATAGAGCAAAACACCGCCCGGTCCCATCCCATCCCTACAGTTGTTGTCAGTCTGAGCCCTGCTGGCCTCACCGTGTCTCTCTCTCTTTGACGGTCAGCCTCTTTGTCGCTAGCCCTCTACTTGACCAAGAAGGATGTCCTTTTCCAGGGACCGACTTAGTAGACTCATAGAATTCTGGTTTTCGGGGGGGCGGGGGGCGGGGCGGGGAGTGATCAATAATTTTCATCAGTATTATTTTTATTGCTGGTGTATTTCCAAAATTTGAGCCATAAGAATTCAAGTGTTTTATCCTCAGTAAATACAGAACTGCCTTCGAAGAATTTTGTTCCTAGCCATAGACTGAAAATCTGGACAATAATCGTGCCTTGACAATAATGATTCAGAATCAGATGATGGGGTTTGTTTTTTTCTTTTTTGTTGACAATAAAATTGAGATAACTTCATTTTGGTATTCTGTTATTTCACCAACCTCGGTGTTACTTTCTCAAAAAAGGCTTCTTTGACCCATCACATTAGATCGGATGCGATCCCTAATGCATTCCCTCAGAGACCCTGGTGCAACATAATGTAACATAAGCAACGTTTCATGTAACCATTTGCTTATGCTTTGCCTTGCCCACCAAACTTCTTGAGGCAAGAAGTTGATCTTGAACATGTGTGTGACTTTGCATCATCCAGCTTTTCTGATGACACAGCACACTGCTGATAACATAGCTGTTGGTCGTTCCAGGTTTCTGGAAGACATACATAAGTTCAAGCATTATGTTTTTGCACAAGAAGTATAAAGGTCAACTCAAGGCTCAAAGCTGAGTAAACTCTTCAAGCCAGTTTCCAAGTGTGGCTGGTTGTAAAGCTGCTTTAAGTGGCCTAGTTGAAAGAATGTGAACATTTGAATCATCAGGCTTTTAAATTTATGCTTGTGACTCTTGAAAATGCAGTATTCTAATAAATATTGTTTCTTACCACAGCTTCCCAACACCATAAAGGGCACAGCCATGGGGTCAGAAACTAATCATGCTCGTGGGGTATTATTAGATAGAAAGAGAGAGAGACAAAAGGGCTCCTGTCTCTTGAGTTAATATTATTTTAGAAATACTTAATCCCCAGGCCACTAAGCTAATTGTGGGGAAAGGCTTATTATTAGCGAAGAGAACAAAACATATGTTCCAAGACGGAAGGAGATGATGGGGACTATATAGGTCATGAATTCTATTTGACTAAATTACTGCTGAACCTGGTCGTGGATGAGAGGCTGGGGCGAGTGGAAAGCCAGCCTGGTGTCTTTCCATCTGTAGAGTGTGTGTATCCTGACTGTTTAAAGCCTGAAGCTGCCACATGAAGGGGTATTGTGAAATATTATTACCTTAGGTATTTTGCTTTTATGACATATTTAGTATTTTAGGCTGTACTTCTAAGTGGGCTGATTTATGCATCAAGCAGCAAACCAATTTATTTGAAATTTGAAAGCCATCATCAGAAACAACATCTCCGGTGGCTTCTTTCCCCAGGGCGCCGAGTAGCAGCATGTCAACCAGCCACCATGGTTCCCACCCAAAGCCCCGTGCAGCCAGTGGTGGTAGCGGGAGGCTGGACTGAGCAGACTCAAGAGGAAATTAGACTGATGGAACGTATCACACATATGGAGGTACGTTTTTAGGCCTCCAGACATGAAAGGCTTTGCCTCTCTTATAAGCCTTTTAAAGTGCAAAATGAGTTTTACAATTATGCTATTAATATATTCTCGGCATGTGGTCACTTATGACCACATAAGCATATGCCAACCATTGAATTGGCATTTATCTAAAAGACAGCCGAAGGTACGTTTTGTTTGAATGGAGACCAGGAATTATGGCCTGAGCAGAGAAGAGAAAAAGGCCCAGTGGATCCGCACTCCGGTCGTTATAATGAGTGTGGTCCAGTTGAGCCCATGGCTTCATTGCTCATCTCTCCTAAGGGTGTGCCTCAGTATGGAAGGAGATCAAGGAGCAAATCCTAATGGCAATGGAGACATTCAGAAGTAGGGGATTCAAAAAGGGGCTTCAGCCCAATTGGTCGTTCAGTCAGGACTGCCAGACATAAAACAGTCGCGGAGAGAAAGGTTGGCGGTGGGGGAGGATTGGGGACAGAGAACAGGGAGAACTTTTTTGCTTTGTGGAAGTTTTTCATCAAAATGATATGTTCGTATTTCAGAGTGTTTCTCAAATTGGTGCAACGTGCTCACTGTGATTCGGAGCACGCCCAAGTCAAAGTTACTCAAGGGGGGGAAAAATGACATCATTAGAATTACGACTTCTTCCCAAGCTGAAAGGATAAATCACTGGCTAGGGAATGAATGCAAAGCATTGAACTTGTACATGCTTGAAGTAGGATGAAAAGCCGCCTGGCAGGGATCTGGCAATGTTTAAGGGGTGCTACTGTACTGAAAAGACAGTGTGAGCAAGGACTCAAACAACAAGCATGCACACTCCCTGAAGCGCTTCCTAGTTAAAGGAAATGATGTTGTGATTCTAATCAAAACTCATCTGTTAGATGCAGAGATGACTCAGTAGGAGAAACACCATGGACACGTTCAGAACCATGCCTCCATTCATCTCTCCAAGTGATAAGTGAAAGTTCAATGCTATGCCAAAATCAGTGCTTCTTTCTCCTCACTTTGATGCCTATTATTGTTGCTGTTAGTGAGTTCTCTCATGGAAGCAAGGAGAATTTGCATAAGAGTTAGTGAAAGAGAGGCTGACGCCCTTCGTGGTGACTTGCTGAAATTTTTCAATATCATTTTCAATTATATTGTTTCTCTCTTTCATCACATTTATCTCCCCACACACATACCAAAGAGACAGATATTTAAATATGGAATTCTCTGTTTTCTTTGACAGGCACACCTTTCCAAAGTCCAAGAGCTGCAATCCAGAAGAGAGCCTCTGATTTCCACAAGAAGTCCAACCAAGCCCAGCAGCCTGTACGTGCAACCAGACACCAAACGCGTGTGGGCGTATCTAAACGGAGGCAGCCCCCAAGATGGCAGTTATGCCAGGGGCAAAAATATTTCAGAGGTAAATTTTGAAGAGAGATATTGCAGAGAGAGAGTGTTAAACAGACCTCTGCCGTTTCTAGAGTGCTGTTCGACACCATCCAATCAGCTTGCATCATAGTAACCACATGTGCAATGCAGCCCAACACGGCCTGCGTCTCCCTGCGCCGTTTTCACAAATGCTGCGCTGCCTGGGCACATTGTCATATGTACTGCCCGACCAGCTCGTTGAGGTCTTTCATTTTCCATTGACGCGCTACTTCATTACACATGCTGTCCTTCTCCAGGGACTGGTCGATCTGGTTATATGCTCAAAGCATGGGAAGAGCTAAGAAGCATGCTGGCTCTACTTCTTCCAAGACAGAATTGTTTGTTTTTCTGGCAGTTTATGGTACTTACAATAGTCTTTGACAACACCAAAATTCAAAAGCATCAATTTGGCAATGGGTCATTTGCATCCTTCCTCTTTGTTTCCAATGTTTGCCCTCCAAACATCAGTGATTAACAATGCGCCTTGAATATATATGTGATCAATTGTGCACCAAATCAATTGATAGAATTCTTCTAGTTCTTCATCATTATCTCTAGTGATTGGTGTGTAAATTTGAAAAGTAGTTATACTAATTGGTCTTCCTTGTAGGTCTATAGATATTATCACAGACAGCATTTTGCTTCAAGATAGATCTTGAGATATTCTTTTTGACAAAGAATAGTATGTTAATCTTCTTGAATTTTTCATTTCCAGCATAGAACAGACATGATGATCTCAACCCGAAGGGCCAATAAAAGTCCGTTTCAGCTCACGAGTGCCTAGGAAATTGATCTGCTTAAACATTCCATTTCATTTTTCACTGCTTCCTATTTTTCCTAGCTTCATACTTGATATATTCCACATTATGGTTATTAAAGGCTAAATTATCAATGGATGTTTGCCGCTATTTCTTCTCACTTTGAGTCATACCCCATCATCAGATGAAGGTCCAAAAGTGTGGTTCCATCTATGTCATTAAGGTCTACGCTATTTTGAGATGGCAGCACTTCCCTTGTCTTATTTTCAGTGCTTTCTCATTTGAAGGGCTCATCTTTGGACACTATATCAGATAACATGATATCATTAATTATGAGGTTTTCAATGATGCAATTTTTCAGAAATGGACCATCTCTTGCGTCTTCCTAGTCTGTTCTTAGTGTAGAAGCTCCACTGAAACCCATTTACCATGGGCAACCCTAACTGAAATAATGGTGGCATAGCTTCCAGCCACCACAGTACCTCACAGTAACAAAGTGGGCATTAGTGACTTTCAGTGTTGTTCTGTGCCACCGAGTTAGTGCCAATTCATAACAACCCATCTACAACAGAACGAAACACTTCCAGGTCCCGTGCCATCCTCGCAATTGTTGTTGTGTTTGAACCCATTGTTATAGACACTGTGTTGACACGTCTTGTCAAGGGTAGTCCTCTTTTCCACTGGCTTCTACTTTACCAAGTGAGATGTTCTTGGATAGGGACTGCTGATCATCGAAGCACGGTACATGAGATGAAGTCTCACCATCCTTTCTTCTGAGGAGCGCTCTGGATGAATTGCTTCAAAGGCAGATCTGCTTGTTCTTTTGGGAGTCGTGGTACTTTCCATATTTTTTGCCAGTACCATAATTCAAATGCATGGATTCTTCTTTGGTTTTTCTTGTTCAGGTCCAAGTTTCTCATGCAGAGGAGGCACTTGAAAATACCGTAATCTGCCTAACACTACTAAAAAAACAAAAACAAACCCTCATTGTCATGGAGGGAAGTCATGGGTTTCCAAGACTGTAACTCTTTGTAGGAGTAGAAAATCCCATCTTTCTCTCACAGGGTAGCTGGTGGTTTCAAACTGCTGACCTTTTGGTTAATAGCCCAATGTGTATATACTATGCCACCAGAGCACTGTAGGTCAGGCAAATTACCCTAACTTATATGAACTTCATTTTCTCCTATGTACAGTAGAAAATATACTTTTATTATGGGGTGGGTATGATGACTAAATGAGTTAATATGTTATCTGTATGAAAGTCTAGAGTCAAATGCTTCCTGTAACATGTATGTGTGAATCTGAAAATACCACTTAGCCAGCAGAGAATAATGATAAGAGTACCTATCAACCAAATAGCATGGTCAAAATCTGTAATTTAAATACTTTTTCTGACTCATTTTCAACAGAGTTTAGAAAAAAACTGCCCCCATCATGAATTATGCGCTATGTATCTTCAAGGTATAGAAAATAATAGTACTCCTTATTATACCCAGAGTGCTAGAAATCTGGCCTAATTAGTAAAGTTAAAACATTGACTAAGGATAAACACAGTCAATTTATTTATTGTTTGAAATCACAGCAGTAAATCCCCAGACATGAATACATTGCCTTAATCTTTAAATAAAAACATTGACCGCTTGCCACTGAGTCGATTCTGACTCACGATGATCCTGTGTGTAGCAGAGGGAAGCTGCGCTCCGCTGGGTTTTCAATGGCCGGTTTACTAGAGTGCCAGGTCTTTCTTCGGTAGGCCCTCTGGAAGGACTGGTTGCACCAACCTTTAGGTTAGCAGCCTAGCACCATCTAAGGGCCCAATTAAAATAATCAATCGATCTGCTATTCTTTTAAAAATTGGATTTCAGTGATGTTGTTAATACTAGTTGAGCCTTTTCATTTCCTGAACCGTTTTCTGGGATGAGAGGAAATCACATGAGAAGAAAAGGGAGGTAAGATGGTATAACAGACTCAATTAGAAAAGTCTACAGAAGGTACCTGGAGTAACAAGAACACTTTATTGTATTTTATTTAATATTTTATTGTGATAGTTTATAGCAAGTGTATATTGCTTTTCCATTCAATAATTCACACACATTTTGTCCCAAAATTGATTGCAATTCCAAGGTGTATCAACCCTCTTCCCACTCTCTCCCAGTGTCTACTGTTCCCTTCATCCTTCTTTCCCATCCTTTCCTGCCATGCCTTCTGAGCTTTATCTCTGTATGTTAGACAGGGTTCTCTAGAGAAACAAAACCAGGACACTTATGATTATATATAAATATATATCATAAGAAATAAATAGCTAATTATAGAGCAATACAAATGGCTCAGTGTAACTCACTTCTGTGAGACAGATAATACACTGGCAGTCCTTCAAATCTTGAGGGCCACCGGGTGCAAGTCAAGGAAGCAGACAGCTGAGTCTTCTGTAGAGCAATTCAGGCTATCGAGCCACAGGCAGCAACCAGCAAAGCAGGTCACTAACAGTCAGCCAGATGACAGGGTCTGACAGTCCCCAGCTGAAGTGATGTATACTCCAGTAGCATGGCAAGGCAGGCCTTGAAGGAACCTCAAACTACAGCAACACAGTCCATGGGTTAGGCGTCCCACAGGTAGTGTAGGTTTCAAATTGAGGCAGAGAACAAGCTAAGGCTCACTGGTCCCATCATCAAAGAGCAAGAGACAAGAAAGATGAGGCTCGCTGATCCATTTATCTCTCTGCCCTTTGATTAATCCCACATGTGTTCATTGGCCAAGTTGGCACAATAAACCTACCTATCACACCCTGGGTCAATGCTGATCTTCTATGATGGGTTGTTCTAAGGCATACGTACCTCCCTGCCATTGGACAGATTCTACAGATTCTAGTGCTAGAGTTGGCTCAAGAGTGCAAACAATGAGGGATACCCTCTTTGAGAAAGTGTTTGCAGAACTGTGAAAGCAATCAATCATGTCTGAAACATTAACAGCCAATTTGCTATACTTGAGAAATGAGAGTGTGTGGGGGTGGGGTGGGAGGAATGCATGGGGGTGGGTGGGAGGGATGCAGAGGATATAGATCAAATCTAGATATACAAGAAAAGGAACTTTAAACACCTGGGGTGGCGGTGGGGTGGCAAGTGGGGCTGTGGTGTTTCAAAAGAGAGAAGAATTTCCTTAGGGGGCTGTAGTATTTCAAAAGAGAGAAGAATTTCCTTAGGGGGGAAAAAAAGAATTTCCTAAGAAAGGCAACTTTACAAAGCTAAAATGTTTCTTCCTTGCTGACTTCATTAGGAAATATAGAATTCGTGTTGCAGAGACTAAGTCCTAAAATGCACTTAACCATTGTAACTAGAACTGATAAAATAGTGAAAGAATATGAAAATGATTCAACTGCAGATAAAGAGAAAGCTGGGAAGATGAAGAAACCAGCCTGCTGAACTGAGGATAACAAACACAATAATGCAGACAAACGTTATATTTATTTGTTGTGTGGGGGAGTGACTCTTGATTTATGAGACTGTGTGTGGCATATAAAAGATAATAAATATTATCCCATTTTTACAATAAACTTTGTTTCTGAAGGGCACTTGACTGGACTCTGTGACACATCCTGACTTAAGTATACAATTGTGTAAACATTATAGTGCTACCATCAGCAGTAATCGCAGGACCAGGAGCAGTCAGAGGAATAAAGTATCGCATTGTCTCTGCTCTCCTTCAATTAATATTTTAAATTGGCAAAGCTTTTATAAATAGTTCCACTATTTACTAGCATTTGTAGAGAAATGAGCACTCTCATGTTAAAATAAGCACAAATTTTGGAGGACAGTTTGCCTTTATATATCATAAGTTAATGAGTTTATATAAAGGTTGAGAAGACTTTTATCATGAAGCTGTTTATAACAGAGATAAATTAGAGTCAATTAATGGTCATCAAAGGGATTTGGTTAAAAACGAAAAAACGGGTAGCAGTTGGATATGCTAGTATAACTCAAAATCAACGTTTAGGAAAAGGAACCATGAGGTTACTCCCAATACTATAAGTGAAAGAAGCAAGAGCTAAAACAAGGCACAGTTGGGTTTCAGAGAAACACAGGTCCACGCACACAGAAAGCAAGATTGGGAAGGATTTATTTTTGGATGAACGGATCATGAGTGATTTTTATTTTTAGTCCTATTTTGTACATTTTCTATGTGTTCCATTATGTTTTGCAGATGAACACGGTTCTCTTTTGAAAGTAAAATGTACTTG